GGCAGCAGCCACACAACAGGGAGCCAGGCCTCGGCAGTGACCCTGCGGCGGTGACCCAGTGGCCGGGTGGTGGCTCAGGGGCAGATAAGGTGCTTCCGGCTGAGTCAGTGCGGTTCCCAGGGCTGGCACGGGCCAGGGCACTGTGCCAGGGGCTGGTGGGCGGGCATCCTCCCTGTGCCCGCCACAGCCCAGCTGGCCCTGTGCCAGCAGCCACAGCAGCTTTGATGAGGCAGACGCTGCCCGCCGAGGGGCTCCCTGACACCTGACCTGCCGGTCTCCCGGGCTGGCCCAGCCTGCGGGAAGCTGCGCCCGGTTCTCACCAGTTCCTGCCTAGCCCCCGGTGCCCAGCGCCCAGGCCTCTGCCTCAGCCAGCCTTCCCTGCCGCTGCTGACCACGGACTCCAAGGAGGCTCCACGCGCCTCCCTCCCGAGGGCGGACCCCGCCCAGGAGCCCCGTCCCACTCTTTCCCAATTTTCCCGTTTTCCCAGGGCCTTACCCACCTCTCGTCCAGCCACTGGCCCCAGAATCAGGCCCTGCCCTCCAACACCCTATCCTCCACCCCAGCCCTGGCCCCAGGCTGTGTCCAGCTCTGGCTCCTTCAAGCCCCAGGTCACCTGTCCACCTGCCTCCCGGCTCTGCCCCACCCAGCCCTGTAACTCTGCTGAGCAGAGAGAGGCTCCCGCAGTCCCGTAGGACGGCGATTGGCAGGGCAGCAGGCCCCTGTGCTGGCCCAGCCCCACAGGAGGAAATCCACCACAGCCAGCAGCCTGGGACCTAAGGGGCAGAAGCAGGCTCAGCATGGCCAGAGGCTGCTGCCCCAGGGCCCGCCTCAGACACAGGCTGGAGTCCAGGCGAGACGGCAGCAGAGGCCCAGGAGGTCAGAGCCTCAAGCCTCCACGGGAACGTTCCATTTTCCCCTTGAAGAATGCTGTTGGGGGCTGGGGATGTGGCTCAGCTGGTCGAGGGCTCGCCTCGCGCGCACAGACCCTGGCTCGATCCCCAGCACCATCAAAAAGACAAAGAAAAGAAAATGCTATTGGGTGTTCTTCTGGGACCAAAAGTCGACCTCACAAACGTACCAACGAAGTAGGACAGTGCCTCTCCTGTCATCTGAGCGAGTCCGGAGGCTGAGGCAGGAGGATCACAAAACGAAATAAAGGGGGTTGGGATGCGCTCAGTGCCCGGCACTGATGAGCGTGCGCTCTGCCTCACATGCACAACCTCTAGACGGCCGGATGCCAGGCGGGACCCTCGGGGCTACCTCTTGCTGTGGTCACAGTCACAGCCTTCACTCCTAGCTGCCGCAGCCTGTGACTGAGCCAAGACCCGTGAGGGCAACAGAGGACAGGTCACGGGACACCAGGGTGCCACAGCCAAGGCCCCAGACTCTCAGGGCTGGGCCCACCTGGCCCGTCCAGCTTTCAGCTCCACGGGGTGTCTGGTGCCGGGTCCTGAGGTCTGAACGTGAGGGTGACGCTGACCTCTGCCTGGCTCATGGCCTCTTGTCAGGTGAGGGAAACCAAGCTCATGGCTGGTCTCTCCTCTGAACCCCAGGCGCTCTCGGCCCCCCGCCCTGCCAACCCTGGAGCCACCTGCTGGGGCCTGGGACGTGCACCCTCCCGGCGTGGCTGCAGACGTGGTCTCCTCATCCATGGTCTCATGTAGCCCCTGTCCTCGGCAGAGCAGGGACTCGGCTCACTACCCACGGGTCAGTGCTGGGCACAGTACTGGCCTTACTGAGTCTGTGTGGATGGAAAACAGGGAAGAACCCGACGTACCACACAGATCAAAGCCACAGTGAGCACGGGGCGGGGCTCAGCGGTAGAGCTCGCCTAACACGTGCGAGGCCCTGGGTTCGATCCTCAGCACCTCATAAAGATTGATAAAATAAAGGCCTTGAGAAAAAGAAGAATTAACAAACAAACAAAAAAACACGGCGAGATGCCACGCGACCCCGCCAGGGCAGCTAGAACCCTCTCTGTAAATCAAAAACGCTGACGGCGGTGCAGGTGAGGCCCGGAGCCTCACTTGGGGCTGGGGAGGTGGCCTCCCCTCACTGCCCTCCCCACCGTAGACAGAACTGCCCCCACACCCAGCAACTTGACGCCGGCACACACCCAAGAGAAACAGACACAGGCGTCCATCACCAAGCCAGGGCAGGTCAGCTTGAGGGCACTGGGCGAAGGCCACAGCCCGTCCACCCGGAGCATCCTTGGCCAGGGCAGGAGCAAGGGAACAGTGGAACGTGGACGGACCTGAGGACCTCACGCTCGGTGAGCACCAGACACACAAGGCCCCTGTGGGACCCAGTGACAGGAGGGTCCAGAGATGGACGTGGACCCACGGTGCAGGGCTGGGGCAGGATGGTGACATTGGGGACAGCAGCTAAGGGTACAAGGCCCATTTTGGGGCGATGGAGCGGCACACGGAGGAGTGAGTTGTGTCTCTCTGGAAATCAAATCCCAACAAAGCTGCGTCAGTTTCCCTGTTTTTGGAATCGATTCAGCCTCCGCCGGAGTTGCTGGGACTCACGGTTCAAACCTTGAAGTGGCTAAAGATCTGGAACCAAGGTCTGCCCGTGTAAAATGGCCACCCGGGTGACCGGAGGCCACCCAACATGCGTCCAATGCCAAGGGGCTGAGATCCTCATCTCAGTCTGTGACGCAGCCCAATCCGCCGAAGCTCCGGCCAGCCAGACTCCCTCAGGGCACGTCACCGGGCTGTGGCAGCCAGGCTCCCCGTTTTCAAGGAACCGCCCTCCCCCACCTGGCCGCCCCCCAGACCACAGGCCCGGGCAGACCAGCAGCTGTCGAGGATCTGCAGGCAGAGTCTGCCCCAGGCCCTGCCAAGACCCAGAGGAAGCAGCAGACCGGTGCCAAGCGGCGGCCAGCCGGCCAGGGCTGCCACGTGCCAGGAAGGGAGTGGGGCGGACGCCAGAGTCAACACGGCCGGCGGGGCCCAACATCTGTTGGGCCAGCGGGGCCTGGGCTGCTGTGGACACGAGCTGTGCAGGTGCCCAGCGGCCGGGCAGGAGGCTGCACCAGCCCCTGGGCCTGCCACAGACGGGCGGAGGCTGAGGTCCCAGGACTGCAGGGCCGGCCCGGTGTGCCCAACACCCTCCAGTTCCATCTCCCACAGAAGCCAGCCAGGTTGGCACCTCACCCCTCACACGCCACGCTCGGCCTCTGCCTGGGACCTCTTCTGTGCACGCCCAGCTCCTCGTGTCCCCCGGCTCAGGCCAAGCGTCACCTCCTGAGGGGCCAACGATGCCAGGAGCAGTCCCACACCCCCTGCCACCTGGGTGCCCACAGACTTGTCCCGAGCACCTCCACCCTGAACACTGTCCCCGAGGACAGTCCCCGGGTACCTGCCATGTAGCAGGCGTCCAATAAGCCCGTGGGCCTGAGATGCTGAGGGGCCTCCCCGTCAGGCCTCGGGGTCCCCTTAGCAGCTTTCTGCTGCGGGAGGCACCTTTGACCCAGACTGGGTTGTCCCGCAGACAAGCTAGACCACGGCCCTGGTGGTCAGCCTCCGCTCCCAGCTCACCGAGGGCTCTGGGATCAGGGAACGCCCCCTTCGGCACGGAGCCTGGGGCCATCTGGGTGGTGTGCAGGGGTCCAAAGGGCCCTGTGGACATTGGACCCGTGGGCCGACGGGCCGTCCCGCAGCGTGACCTTGAGGGGTGGAGGTGCCTGACCAGGGGCCGGGCCCAGAGACCGGAGAGCCTCCCTCAGTGCTCAGCAGAGGACCCCTGCCCTGGGGAGGCACTGCTCAGGGAGGGGCACCTCAGGGGCCAGCTGAACTCCTGGTCCCAGGGCACAGTGTCTCGGGGATACCCCAAAACCCTGAGGGCCCCCTGAGCAGATACCAGGCGGGGTGGGGCCTGGTCACACCCAAGAAGAGTGACTTCTACCAGGACCAAGAGCCTGGGGGCAAGGACACCCCACCCAGTGAGAAGGTGGGGGCAGGTCAGTACCTTCCCGTGCTGCCAACCCCAGGCGCCTTGGAGCTCTGTCCCTCACCCAGCCACCACGGAGGTCTCTGCTCATCGGCCAGCTTCCTGACCACTGAACCTGCCCCTGGGGGCTCTCCTGCCATGCTCACAGTGGGCATGGCCAGGAGCCGACCCCCCCCCAGGCCCCTCGTGCCTCCTGAGGCCTCCAGGGCAGGCAGCCTGGTGCTGGGAGGGTGAGGTCACCTCCTGTGGTGGCCCCTACTTGGAGCCCAGGGTTTGGGTTCCACTGGACGCACCCGGAGGTCAGGGCAAGGCCCAGCTGGCCAAGGGCCGGAATGCAAGCCCAGCCGGCAGCCGGGCCGCCATCTGGTTTCCATCTGCCCAGCCCAGTGTGGCCCAACTTCAAAGGACCCCTGCAGGCCACTTCCTCTGGCCCAGTCGCCTGGCCTGCAGGAAGGGCCAGGGCCGTCCCTGCTTCCTCCACCCCTCGCAGGGCCCAGGAAGCTTCTCTGGCATCCATAAGAGCCCCTGTCCGCTCAGCCCCAGGCCTGACTGTCCACCACGGTCATGGCACGTGTTGGCTCCTGCTGCCTTGGCAGGCACCCAGGGCAGCCAATAGGGACCCTCAGCCACCTCTTGGGCAGGCTATCAGTCTCCCGCCACCACAGCCAGGGCAACCCCCCAGCCAGCTCTCGAGAGATGGACTCCCCACCACACACCCACCGTCCGGGTCACCCAGCCCCACGGCTACACCCCAATGCCCCCTGACAACAGAGGCTGCCAGCCTCGACCAGCTGCCCACCCTGCCCATGCTGGGCCCCCAGGGGCGTGTCTGTCGGGAAAAGTGGAGTTTGCAGAGCTCCCAGACAGCTCCCCACATCTGGTGCCCACGTCCACTGCACTGGCCCAACCACCTGGCCACGCAGAGAAATCTGGGTGGTGGCACCCACCGGATCCTCAGAGCGCAGGGGGCCTGACCATGGTGTCACGGCCAACCCGAAGGCCCGTGGCACCCCCCACACCCGCACTTAGCCGCAGAGCCCACCTGCTTGAACTGCTCCTCGTAGGTCCAGTCCCCGGGGTCTGGCGGCTGCGGCTGGGGCCCTAGGTGGGCGGCCCCTCCAGGGTGGGCTGGGCCAGGCCCCTGCCGCTCAGGGCCGCCTAGTGCCCTGGGAGCACCCTCCCCACGGAAGGCCTGGGCTGGCTGGGCCTTGCGTGGAAACAGACCGGCAGAGCCCGGGCCCAGGGGACCTGGGGGGCCCAGCCCCTCCTCCTCCTCATCCCCCTCATCCTCATAGTCGTCCTCGTCCTCGTCCTCGTCAGCCAGGTCTTCCTCCAGCTCTTCCTCCTCCTCCCACTTCGGCTTCCTGGGGGGCACAGGGCACAGGTCAGAGAGCAGGACGTGGCTCCTTCCCTCCGCCCAACCTTGTCTCCCCCCTGAAAATGGGAGGGAAGGCCCCTGCCCATAGGGCCTGCACAGTCTGCGGGCGCCCAGGATGCCCACGAAGTTCCCAACTCCAGGAGAACCTGAGCGGCCCTGCCCGGGGCCTTGGCAAAGGCTGCTCCTTCTGCTGGGCCTGCCTGACCCTGGCGCTCCCCCTGCCTGGGGAGCCCAAGTCCTCCTGCCCAAGGCTGGCCCTGGCACCCGCCTGCCTTCCCGCATCCCTGGCATGGCCTGGCACCATCTCCTCTGCCCATTGTAAGGACCCCAGAACACTGTGGGCTCCCTGAGACCAACAGGGTCTCAGAGACACCTCCCTGCCAGGAGTGGGCCCTGTGGAGACCCGGGCAGTGTGTTCCACACAGGCCAGCCTGGCTGCAGATTTTATCTGCCTCATGGCTGAGATGCTCCAGCCACACCCAGGCCCTCAGTCACACTGGACACGCGTCCAGTGTCCAGCTCCAGGTGTGACAGCGACCCCCACACTGAGGGTGCACACCGCCAGGGTCTGCTGCCCAGGAGGACAGTGGTCGCTCCTTCAAGCCTGCCCCCCCAGCACAGGCATGTGCTCAACAACCGCCCCCCTCAATGACGGAACCCCAGGGTGCCCTCCCTGCAGGGAGTGAGGCTCAGGGATGACACCCGCCGCCGGACACCACTCACAGGTCTTCATCGGAGCCTAAGTCCTCCAAGTGTGTGGCATCTTCAGTGTGTCTGGAGCCTTCCCCGCCTTGCCCAGGCAGGGCTGGTGAGCCCGGAGCCCCCTCCTGGGCCGAGTCCTCATCCTCTGAGCCTGGGGGCCCGTCCTCAGAGCCCCCAGGGCTGGGTGGATGTCCCAGGCCTGCTGCAGCAGCCCGCATGGCAGCCAGTGCGGCCATCTGTGCCCGCTGCATATGGGCATTCTCAGGTTCTCTGTCCTCATCGAGGGGGGCCCGAGCCCGGGGTCCAGTGGGGGGCTCGGGCAGCGGCTGCTGCCGGGCCTCCAGCTCCTGGCGGGCCCGCTGCTGCCGCTGCAACAGGGTCTCCATCACCGCCTGCAGCTTCATGGCCCTGCGGGCCAGGCCGCCACCACGCCGGGCACCAGGGGTGGGTGGCGGGGGTGGCCCCGGTGGGGAGGGGGCCCGGCCACACTGCAGCGTGGGGGCCTCGGGGGAGCCGGGACAGTGCAGGGTGGCGGGGGGAGGGGGCGGGGGCCGCCGGCTCAGGCTGAAGGCTGGTGGGGCATGCCAGTGGTGGGTTGGGGGGTCCCGGGTGCCAAGGCTGGCGAGCGGCTCATTCACGGGTGTTCAGAAACCTGGGGGTGATCGAGACAGGGGGTGAGACTGTGTCTGAGCTCCTCTGGCCCCATTCACCCACACCGGACTCCAGGGGTCTCAGGGGCCCCTCCTGTCCCAGCCACAAGAAACACACTGTCCCCACTGTGTCCGCCTGGAGACCCGGGTTATTGCTTCATAAGCAGAGCAGAGGGGACTAGGCCTTCCTGGCCTCTGATTGGCTATAACCAGCTCCAGACCCCAGAGTCCAGGCAGGTTCTGGGTTCTGGTTCTGAGTTCCAGGTGCTGCCCACGTCCAGAGGGGCCCCAGCATCCCGGTTCTCAGATTAACAGAGACAACAGCTGGCCCAGATGGAGTGCTGCCGTCCAGCAGCCCAGCCAAGCCTCCCACGCCTGCTCCCACGGCCTCCCCATCAGCACCCCAGCCCCTCCACCTGAGAACACTGTGGCAACAGTGCCCAGCTCACTCGCTACCCTCACGTGGGCAGAAGTGGGGCCACCCAGGTGCCAGAGGAGGAGCCAGGAGTTCTGTGTGACAAATGAGGGGAGCAGAGGCTCAGCAACGCTGTGCCGCAGGACACCAAGCACAGGATCTGGACCTGTGTCCAGGTGACATCAGAGCCTTCCCTGGTGCCATGCTCTCTGCAGGGGGAAGGGGTCTGAAGTTCCCAGTCCCTGGAGGCCCCAAGTGGGGCAAATGTCCCAGAATGCCACACACCTGCCCAGCTCCCCTCCCAGGGGTCCCGTTGCCCCTCCACCAACTCTTAATTGTGAGGGCTCCTGCAGGGATGTCCCAGAACCTGGCAGTGGTGAGCACCAGGACCCAGGTCCCACCTTGGGCCCTCACCCACCAGGCCACACCCCACCCGCCCAAGCCTCCAATAAAACACCAGGCAGAACCCAACAGGCCCTGATGGCGCATCACTGGGACAGGGCGGGGACAGAGCTCCAACCTCCTTTCAGGATGGGGTACAGAAGGCACAGCTCTACACCCAGCTCAGGGGCAGGTGGGCCCAGGGGTGAGGCCCGGGCAGCCCCCAGGCCAACAGGGGTCCCAGCAGCTGGTGCATCTGGTGAGCTGCTACCACCCAGGGAACTCCTCAGTCACCAGGAGTCCAGCACCCCTCCTCGGGCATCCTTTACTCAGACCCCTGGGATCCCGGGAGAGGGGTAAAAAGGCCAAGGGGGAAGGGTCCATGGAAAAGGGAACGGCCACATCTCCAAAGGGCCAAGATATCCCTGTCAGTCCCTTGAGGGCAGGGGTCCAGGTCACAAGGACCTTCTCAGAGGCCATGGCACTGGAGAGTGACTATCAGAGCCTGGTCCTCCAGAGGCAGCAAATGCAGCACCCCCCCCCTACCCCCAGGGCTGCTGGCCATCCCCACCTGACCCAAGAAGTGCTGAGGGGACATTTCTGGCACTGACTGGTCTGGTCCCTAACCCTTCCCCCACCCTCCACAACTTCAAGATGAGCCCCTCCCCACGGAAATGCTCCAGGCAACGCCCCTCTGGGGGGGGGGGCAGAAGGAAGAGGCCAGAGGAAGCCACTCCTCCCCATCACCCCCCCCCCTGCAGGCCTCCTGGGTTTAATGACCCTTCCGGGTCCTCCATGGGTGGGGGAGGGGATCAGGACGGGCCTCCAGGCTGGGGCTTGAGGAGGGGGCAGGTGGGAACCCCGGAGTGCCCCTGAGCCAGGCCTGGGTCCCCTGATGCGCTCCATTAACCCTACCCGGATGACGCCCACCCCTGCAGACCTCTCCCCCAGGAGTCCTTTGTCCTCGGCCCCCACCCCCACTTTATGACAGGCCCAGGGACAGACATTCCTAGACGGGGATGGGGTGCAGGGTGGTCGCAGGGATCTGGTAGGGTGGGGGCGGGGATCAACCAGGGACCACACCCTCCCCCCATGCGTCGGGAGAGAGGTCACCAGCTCCGCGGGGCCTTGCAAAACACGGTTATTTAAAGAGTTGTGCAAGGCTGGGGCCCGCGGGTGGCGAAAGGGGCCCCTCAGTCTGCAGAAGGAAGAGAAGGGGGAGGGGAGGGCAGAGAGTTGGGGAGGGGGCTGAGAAAGTGGGGAGGGGGGCCGGAGGAAGTGAAAAAAGAAAAACCAAAGACGACTACAAAAACCTCGTCCGGATTTCAAAGGCTTCTTGGAAAGCGACCGATTTGCATGGGGGGGGGGGAGTGGGTACGCTTGCGGCCCGAGCGGCTAAAAACGGAAGATATTTGACAAACCCGCCGCCGGCCGGCGCGAACGTTGGAGTTGACACACGCGCGCCCCGCGCTTCCTGCGCCCGCTTTTGTGTCTGGGGTGCGCTGTAACTCGGGAGAGGGCTCTTCCCTAGGACCCCTGCCAGAGACCCAGGGACCCGGACCGAGAGCACTCCGGGGCACAGGGCCCCTATCTGCATTGGAGTGGACACTATAAGTAAACGTACTAGGCTGGACAGGGTCGCCGGGAACTCTCAGGATTCGTGAATACACACCGGTTTCGAGTAAGAAAAATGAAATAAAACCCCAGAGCGCAGCCCCCTGCGCGCGCGCGCGCGCGCGGAGCCCATTTCCTTCCGCCAGGTCCAGGGGAGCGCGCACTCACGACCCTCAATTGCCCCGCACACCCCGGTTTGGACAAGAGCATGAATTTCACCCACTTTATACGGAGTGAGGTCTCCTAGTCCGACGCAGGGGCAAACGCCCAAACCGAGACCAACAAGGGTCGCCTGCCCAGTCCTAGACCCTCACCGCACCTCTGCCTAACTTTGGGAACCCCTCCTAAGCTTCCACCGCGCACTACGCGCAGCCGGAGGCCGGAACCCGCGCTGCAAAAGGCCTTACCGCGCGGGGCAGTTTGGGGGGCGCATGCCCGCGGCCCGGCGTCCGGCCTGCCTGGCCCCGCCCGGCCCCGCCTGGCCTCCCTGGCCTCCCCGGCCTCCCGGGCGCCGGTGCGCACTGCTGGCTCCCGGCCGCCCGCGGGGCTAGTGCCGCGCGCCTACTCACCGACTCTCCAGCAGCATCCGTGTCTACACCCCCATCCGCCCGGATTGGTACGAGGCTCCCGGCGCGCGGCCGGCCCCCCGCCCCGCCCCTCCCCCACCCGGCTCTCACCGCCCCGCAGACAAATCACCGGGTGACAAATCGCTCTCAGATGCAAATACCTCGCCGGTGATTCAGCGCCGGCCCGGGACGCGGGAGGGGTCTCTCGAGGCCCTCTCCCCCTTCCCCGGACGCCCCCCCGCCCTCCGCGCTCAGTCCTTCAACTCACAACTAGCCTGGGGGGGGGCGGTTGGGGAGGGGGAGAGAGTGGACGGAAATTTTCTGGTCTCGGCCCCTTTAAATGATAATAAATAATAAAAGGGAAGGGGAACAGAGCCACGGGACGCCCCGCCCCCTGCCTAGGGACAGTGGGCAAAGTGCGCGTCGCGGCCCCGAGCGCAGAGGGCTCTCAGGGCGAGGCGGGGCTCTGAGAGCGACTGAGGTGGAGGGAAGGGGTTGGGCTCGGCTCCAGCCCCGGGTGTGCTGTAGCGGGGGGACCCCAAACCACCCGAGTCCGCGAGCTTTCCTGGCAATGGGCATGGACCTACCCGCCCCGGAGTTGCACCTTCGCCCCTTAGGCTGAGCCGTCGGCGACCGTAACCTCACCCCCGAGCGTCGGTTTCCAAGTCTGCGTGCGAAACGGGGTTTGAGACCCGGGAAGGAGCGGGCTGCGGTGACCCGGACCAGAGTCGAGACCTGCGGGGTCGCACGGAGGGCGCCCGCCCGCGGGCCACCTGGCCCGGAGGCGGGACGCGAGGTCCTGGAGCTGCGAGCAGCGATCCCGTGCGCCCCGCCGCAGGCCTCGGAGCCCAGCCGGCAGCTGGCCGGGACCCGCACCTGGGGATCGGCGCCCTTCCCCTCCCGGCTCGGGCGGGGCCCGTGGCCAGGCGCTCGCCCTGCCGGCCGGGCCCCACCGAACTGCGCCCCGGCCCGGCCCGGGTAGGGCGAGCGCTGTGCCGGAGAGGGCAGCGGGAAACCCTCCCGGGAAGGGCGCGAGCCGCCCCCGCGTCGCAGTTTCTCCCCCTGTAGGAACCCCGGTTAAGTCAGCCCGCTGCTGTCGACTTGAGGGTTGCTCCAAAGGAGGAGGCAGCATGGGGGGTTGGTTACCCGAAGGTCAGGAGGGGAAGCTGCTTCCCCCAGCTGGGTGCAGCATCCCCAGGCTAGGGGCCGGGAGGGCGAGGGGCTGCAGCAGCCACAGCTGCCTGCTGGGAGGGGGCTCCTATTTTTAGCCCGGGAGGGAGCTGGGAATTTACACCCAGACTTGCTGGCTCCCGTGTATCCTGGGATGCCCGGTGATGGGGGAGGGGGACCTGGCAGCCAAGGGAGAGTGTGAATTTAGGTCAATGCCAGCCATGAAGTGGGTACCCCAGCCCTACGAGGTTTGGACAGACCATTTCCTGGAGCCCCTATGAGTCTGGGGACACCCCCCAAAGCTTTAGCCTGATACCCACCCAATCCTGGTCACTTATCCTATTCTCACTCTCTATTTAGGGGTGGATCTTACAAATTCACCCAGGCCTGGTTCTCAAGCTTCTCCAAGTTAAACCAAAAGTGCCCACCTCCCCACATGTATTCCTTCTCAAGCATGTGTGCACCTCTGTGCCTGTGCCCTGGCCCCTGCCTGGCCTGGCCTGCCCTTCCCCAGAGGGCCCCTTGGCCTGTGTCCTGGGTTCATATTGGTGTCCTCCTCAGGTTCCCTCTCTGGCCTCTCTTCACACCCCCACCATGCCTCAGATCTTCATTGAAGCCTTTTCTATTTTGAAATAGCTATTTATTTAACCCCTGTATCTGGCTTCCAGGAGGGCCCTCAAGTCCTGAGGACTAAGATGTCAGATGAAGTTGGTTAAATGTTACCTCTCTGGCTTGCTTTCCCCCAGGGCTTTCAGTGTGTGTCTGCACAGGGGACTCCAAAATAATCATTTTTAAAATCTGAAGGAGACTGTTGGCCCTCACCTCAAAGCGCGACCCTCCATTGCCATCCATACATATTTGAATACTGAATTTATTGACATTAGGCAGAGAAGCCAGGGTCCACAAAATGTATGCTTATTTATTTACTTTTATAAAAAATATCTTTGAATCATCAATAGATATTTGTTTTATTCGTTTATATGTGATGCTGAGAATGGAACCCAGTGCCTCGCACCTGCTAGGCAAGTGCTCTGCCCCTACACTACAAACCCAGCCCACTATTTACTTTTATTTAATAAGCAGGCCTTAGGGATGTGGCTCATTGGGAGAATACTTGCTGCCCATGGCTCTGGGTTCAATGCCCAGCACAGTTAAAAAGTCAAAAAGGAAATACCCCAGAACATAATAATGTAGGCTACATTAATAATGAATCCAGCCCGAAATGTTTTCAACATCTTTTCACGGACGGGACCCTCAAAACAAGTGCCTAGGACATGAGAAATGCATGATGTGACTGTGTTTGTCCCTTTTCACAGCGGGTACATTTCCTGCTGGGGGTCCGGGTTGGGTGCGAATGAGCGACCCCTGGGCGTCCAGCGATCATTTGTGGGGTGAAAAGAGCGAGATGGATTCGTGAGACACGCGCGCCACTACCTGGGCGCCGGCGGGGCTGCTGCCTTCTGGGCGTGGCTAATATCTACTGGGCGAGGCTTCGTACGAGAGGGTGGAGCCCTGCCGGGGGCCGCTAGGTGGCGCCGTCTTACCTTAGAAAATGGGATTCCCAGGTTGGACTTGGGGAAACTGAGGCCCACAAACCATTTCTCCTCTACTTTTCTTTTGCTTTATTTTTGTAGTACTGGCAATGGAACCCAGGTCCTTGAACATGCTAGGCCAGTGCTCTATCACTAAGGTACATCACCAGCTCTTCATTTTGAGACAGAGTCTTCCTAATTTGCTGGAATTTGTGATCCCCATCCCTTCTCTTCCTGGTTACTGGGATGACAGTATGTATCACCACCATGGCTTTTTAAAACTTTTTTATTTTGAGAGAATTATAAATTCACATGCATTCCTAAGACATCATGCAGCGAGATCTAGTGTAAGCTTACCAAGCCTTCCTAGTAACATCTGGCAAAACTATAATCCAGTATCACATTATGACATTGACATCAATATAATCCACTGTCTTATTCAGATTTTCCATTTTACAAGGGTGTATGTGTGACTCTGTAAAGATTTATCACCCATTTATCCCCTGTCAAGTTCAGGGTTCTTCACCCCACCCACCCCCACCCCTGCGATCATCCCTGACCCCTGATGGCCATTTCCCATTGTTCTGTCCTTTCAAGAGTATTAGATCATGGAATCCTGCATCTTGTGTGCTTGGAGTATGCTTTCTTCACTCAGCGCTCTGTTCATGGAGATCCAGCCTGTGGTGCCCATGTCAGCACTTTCCTTGACCTGTGGCCTCTGTGTGAACAAGGCACTGTTTGCATACAGGCCACTCATTGGAGGGCATCCGACTGTTTCCAGTTTGGGGCTCTCACAAATAAAACTATGAGGATTGGAGGACCCACTTCTGTGTGGACTTGGGTCTTGTTTCTCTGTGATGGGTACCTGAGCTCCCTGCTGGTGTGTGCACCTGTGTTTATTCTCACAGGAAGTTCCTGCAGCTCCCTGTGCACATACCACAACACACTTGGTGTTCAGGCCTACTGTGTACTGGGTCTTGGAGACACAGTGGGAAGCAGGTCACACAGGAACCCCAGTGGGTTCAGCCCAAGAGGATCAGACCCAGAGTGGCATCAGCACTGATTAAGCCTAGGGGGTGCACCTGACCCAAAATGAATTATTTTGGGAGGCCTGGAGCCCTGAGGGTGCTTGTTCTGCAGGGTGACTGAGCTCTGCAGCTCCCACAAGGAACCAGGGCTCTCCCTGCCTTTTTGAGTGGGAGTTGTGGGGCTCCTGAATTGACAATCCTGGTTTCCTTCCAGAAGTTTCTGCCAAAGAAGCCTGCCATGCAGGGAGGAGGCCCAAGCAGCCAGATGAGGAGTACTTACCCCTGGTCTGCCAGAAGACCAAGCACCCCCGAGCTTCCAGGTCTGGCCCAGAGTCTTCCGCTGAGCCTATTTCACATGTTTCCAAGATGCACACTGTTTTCACATTTTAACATCACTAAAGTTGAATGGCTCTTACATGTCACAGTCAGCCACATGATAGTGTGTGAAAACATCTGACCCTTTCTGGAAAGATGGAGAAACTACCACTGTTAGCACATCCTCAGTTGCAGGAATAACAAGCCACAGTTGGAGTATCACAGGCAGTCCTATGGGAAGGTAACAACATTTTCACTGATTATCTGGGATGATGATAAAAATATTAATAATAGAATATTCGCTGCTGCTGAAGCACGCCCTGCTCCAGAGGGGCCACGCGGATCCCAGGGAGTGAATGCAGTGGCTCAGAGAGGAGCAGTGTGCTCCCCTAGTATGCACAGCCCCTCCCTGCTGCCCCACTGCTCCTGGGTTTTGGCGTCCTGGTGGGTGCCGGGCGTGCAGCCAAGCAGTGCAGCTCCATGTTGGGGACCTGGAGATCCGAGGGTACAGGCCCACGGGGCCCGCGTTGGCGTTGAGGTGCACAAGGGCACACGCGTCGGAAGGCCTGTCGGAAGTGGGAACCCAGGAACGCGTAGAGCACCGGGTTCAGCGCTGAGTTGCTGTAGGACATGCAGTGTGCCCAGATCTTGAGCGCGTAGGCGGCATAGCTGCGAGGGTGCCAGGCGCCCGTGGGGCCCAGCGCCTGCAGCACCAGAAATAACTGGATGGGACCCCAGCAAGCAGCGAAGAGCAGAACCACCGCAGCCACCAGCCTGGAGACCTTGGCGCGCACAGCTCCCGCCCGCTCAGCCAGCAGCTGCCCCTGAGGGCGGGGAGCTGGTTAGAGGAAAGGACTGGGCTAACCCCTCAGAGATCCCCCACCCGACCTCCTGGGTTCAAGTTCCCGCAGCTCGCCTCGGGCCTCGGGCACCGCCGCCACCCAGCTCCATCGCGCACCTGCAGGGTGCCATCGGTGGGCGCTGGTCGCACGGCGGCCCGGCCCAGGTGGCGCAGCATGGCCCCGTAGCAGGCGCAGGTAGCGAGCAGCGGCAATAGGTAGAGAGCAAGCAGATTGTAGAGTGCAAAGGCGCGCTCAAGAGTGCGGCTGGGAAAGGCCTCGCTGCAGTAGGTGCGTGGTCCCGGCGACAGGCGATGCAGGGCGAGCACCGGCGCAGATACTGCCGCAGAGCCTGTACCACAGGCGGGGAAGAAGATCCAGCCCCTGGGAGGAGGGGCGCGGCGGCTCGGGCTCCCGCCCCTTTTCCCCAGGTGTCTTCGGGTGTTGCATTCACTGAAGGCCTACTAAGGGCCGCTGGAGCCTTCCATACCCTGGGTGTCCCTCTTTCAGGTAGACCCGGTGGGCTCGCATTTCAGATGCCCAACAGAGGCCCAGAGGGGGAAGGAGGGTCCAGGATAACCAGGCATGCATACATTCCCCCCACCCCCCGCCCCTGCTCGCACCCCTTATGGCACTCACCCACCCAGATGCTGAGGCTCACGACCAGGGCCAGGCGAGGCGTGCGCCGATGGAGGGCACGCAGCGGGAAGACGGTCACGTACCAGCGGTCCACGCTCATAGCGGTCAGAGTGGCGCAAGTGGCCTGCACAGAGACCTGGAAAAGCCGGGAGTCAGGCATGTGCCCTAACCTTCGGTCCTGCCTGTCTCCCCACATGAGTGGGAACTAGAAGAGGAGACCCGGAGAAGCCGACGGGGGAGTGAGGGAGCCACTGGGGAGTTGCCTGATAACCCAAGTCTGAACCCCGATGGTGGGGAAAACCGCCAGGGAGCTGCAGAGGCCGGCGGCCATACCCGTACCACTTGTTCCTCCACCCCGCGACTCCAGGACCTCCTCCTGCTGTTCCGCTGCACCCCTCCGCGCCCAGGCCCGCTCACTCCCACTCACCCGGGCGCACTGCGGTCCGCCCACCTCCCGTGGTTGCGCAAACCCTCCACCCGGAGCACCTGCTGAATGTAGTTGACGAACTTGCACATGAAGTCGCCCAGGACCCAGGCCGGCAGCGGGTAGAGCAGGGCCGTGAAGGGCACGCAGCACAGCAAGAAAGTCACATCGGTGGCTGCCAGGTTGGCTGCGGGCCAGGGAGGAGTGGACACTAGTCTCAGCTTCTTGACTCAGTCCCTGGCCCCCAACCTTATCCCAGGACCCCCCCCCCCACATCGTTATCTGGAGACATTGGGGTGCTCTCCGTTCCCAGAACGGGCCGCGTGGTCATTCTGGCGTGAAACATTCTGCTCTCCTCCGAGCAGGCCTTTGCCCCTGTTTCCTAGTCTCCAGACTGGAGACAGGGGTGTACCCCCAAAGCCACCACAGTAGGAACCCTGGGCACACACCTGTGCCAGGTAGTGCACCCCATCTCACAGTGCACGAAGGGAGACTCAGAAAACCACTGAGGAGAGGTCGCGAACAGACCCCAGGCTCAGCCCCTTCCCCCGCTCCTCCTTTACTTTGGAAAGACACCAGGCAGTGGAACAATGTGACTTCCGCCAGCGACAAGGCTCTCTCCGAGATCACCGCTCAACGCCCCCTTTAATTTCTCAGCCACGGGGGAGTTGCAATTCTGGAGTTTGTTCAGCAAGCTTAAAGTTCAGGGACCCAAGGGAAAGGACGCCAGGGAGGTGGGGTCCCTGCAGGAAGAAGCTGGGTCTGTAACGGACCCAACGCGCCTCTGGGGGCGCCCTGGCCACTCGGCCCTAACAGCGAGCGACCTGGGGACCTGTGGGCAGGCACCGAGCGGCGCCACACTCACCGATGTAGAAGTTAGTCACCGTACGCATCTGCTTGTGGCGGCAGATTACGTAGATGACCAACGAGTTCCCGACCAGGCCAAGCAACATCAGTGCAGCAAAGAAGAGCGGCACGAGCCAGGCGTCCAGGAGCCACGGCGCAGGGGCCAGGCCGTCTGAGGTGTTGACACCGCAGCCGGGGCAGCCCGACGTATTGGCCGGCGCCCACCACGATTCATTGGGCCCCGACGTAGCCGCGACGCTCATGCCTCACGGTCCTCTTCCTCTCCACCGCCCGCGGGGGTTGTGTCCCGCGACTGCCGCGCGGACCCTCCTCTCGATTGGCGGCCTGCGGGGTGCGCGCGCGCGGAATCCGGAATCCGGGAAGGGTCTCGGCTGGAGGCGCTAGTGCTAGTGGGCGGCTCCGCTGGGCTCGCCGGCTCCTGTGTTCGCAGCGCAGCTGCCGCACGTTTATACCCTGCACCCCCCACTTTGTCCCCGCCTTCGCTCCTCTCCTGCAGCCGCCTGTCTCCTTGCTCGTTCCACTGCGTGCGCGCCCACCATCCACCCGCGCAGCAGCCTTCCCCTGTGCCCTCCTGCCCGCGCACCGCCAGGGCTAGAGCGCTGGAGGGATGGGCTGAAGCATTGTGTTGGCGGTGGAAAGGAGGAAAGGAGGCTGCGTGGAGGCTGAAGGACCGACCTCACCCGCAGGTAGACTCACCACCAGAGGGACTGGGGCTCCAGGAACCTGGGCCAAGCTGAGTGTGACCCAGCTTTCAGGAGAAGCCTGGATGAGGGTGAGAGGGTTTGTCCACAGGAGACTAGGAGCCACGGAAGTTTTGGGGCAGGTGAGGGATATGCCAGATCTGGCTGGTTTCTGATGTTGCAAATCTGATCTTACTGAGTGTCTTCTCCCACCCATCTGGCAGCAGTTGCCTAAGAGCTGCTGGGACTTTGGTGTGCTTTTCCAATGGCAACAGGAAACAGGTGGAGGGCACTTTACAAAGGCAGCAACCATGACCCCAAATCCCACAAATGTCCACAGAAATTTACCCAGGCCTCCATCAATGTCTTGGGTTCTGGGATGTTCCAGCTACCATAGAGACCAAAATGGGCAAAGCTCAATAGCTAGTTCTTGCACAGTGTGCATGATCCCCAGTACCCACAGGGAAGACCCACAAGGGGAGCAGAGAATAAATGTGTGGCTCATAAGTGCATCAAATATCTCCAGAAAGCTGAGCCTTGTGGATAACAGATGCTTCCCTGTTTCACCCTGTTATGCCTTTAAAAATTATTTTTAACTAGGTGTAGTGCTGTTCACCTGCAATCCCAGCTACGCAGGAGGCCAAGGCACAAGTTTGAGGTCAATTTAGTAAACCCTGTCTTGAAAAGATTGTGTGTGTGTAGGTGTGTGTGTGTGTGTGTGTGTGTGCGAGAGAGAGAGAGAGAGAGAGAGAGAGAGAGAGAGAGAGAGAGAGAGAGAGAGAGAATGCAGGCTGGGAATGGTCCAGGGCCTCATACATGCTAGGCAAACACTCTAACACTGAGGTACATCCCCGGCCCTCAAAAACAAAAACTTTAAAAAAGGGCTGGGAGTAGAGGTCATAGGTCAGTCGTAGAGCTACATCTCTGGGTTCAATCCTGAGTACCACACAAAAAATTATTCTTGATGATGGCTTGAAAAATCAGAAAAGGAAGTGCAATTCCTTTGAGGCAAAAATGAGGGACGGGTTAGGATGAGGGGCTGAAGATACTAGGTGGTTGTGGGGGCCTGTTTGGGGAAAGCTGGCCTGGGAATGGTCCACCAGGGGACGGGTGGCTGGTGATTCTGGAGTGTGGCAGCTCCTGCACCGACTTTGGGGGTCAGGGAGCTGGTTGTTTGGGGGCCGGGGAAGGTTGAGGAGGTACAGGACAGGTGTCCTGGGAGCAAGACCCCTCCTTCACATACATTTATTGAGCAGCTTCCTCCTAGGAAATCCACCTTCTGGTGCCTGCCCCCTCCCAGTCCCTCCCCCTGGCGCCACCAGTTCTTTGGCCTGTTTCCACATTGATCTCCAGGAGGTCTCAGAGTATGTGCTCTGTGAGACTTTTAGCAGATTCTCCTTTTATTCTTATTCCCCCTAGCTCTTTGTTAAAGCCATCAGGCCTTTGTCCCACCCCATGTCCCCCTGGGCAGGCCCTGCCAGGTCACATCCTAACAAGGTCCTCTGCTCCCTGTCCGTCTTAAGGCCTGGAAGAGGGACTCCAGGCTCTACAGCCATTGTCACCGTACCCTTACTCTCTCCCAGGGCTCCCTACGACCTCGGGACAAAAACCCAACAGACCCATCATCACAGGGTACGTGGCGCCCCTCCCCCCGATTTCTGGATGCCCCGGGGCCTTCCCACTTCCAGAGTCACTTCTGCAGGCCACTAGTCCAGTCGCGGAGGCCTGCCCCGACCATCCCGGGTACCGCCCCCCTAGGGGGAGGGCGTCTGGGTCACTGCAGGTCTCCGGCGCGCACCACGCGCGCAGTCCCCCGCGGGCCTTGGTGGATGAATAAAGCCCGCGGGGCGGAAGGCGTGTGGGCCGGCGGCGTCCGCGTTTCAGAGACCGGTAAACCGAGGTCGAGCCTGGGACCTGCAGGGGCGCCCTGTCCCGGACGCTGGGAGGCCGGAGGCGGCGGGGGAGCTGGTGCGGCCCGGGTCGCCCCCTCGCCGCCCCCATCTCGGGAAGGAACCGCTCCCTGGCCCGGGCCGGCGGGGGACGAGGCTGTCCCCGCCCCGTGCAGCCCGCGACTCCGCCCCGGCCCGCCCCCTGCGGCCGTCACTTCCGCCCGGCCCGAGCAGGCCCGGCGGCGGCGTCCGCGGAGGCGCGAGCCATGGTCGCGCTGGAGAACCCGGAGGGCGGCCCGGAGGCGGCGGCGGGGGACGCCCCGGGCGGGCGGCGGATGCTGTGAGCGCCGGCGGGCGGGGGGGTCGGGCCCGCGGCTCCCGCGACCCCCTACTCCCCTGCTCCCCCGGGCTCGGCCCCGCTCCCCCTGCCCTGCTGCGGGTCTCCGCTCCCCTGCTCGTCCCTGCTCCCTCCCCGCTTCTCTCCCTCGGGGCTCGGCGCCCGCTCCCCGCCCCGCCCTCTGCCCCTCTCCCCTCTCCCCTCCGCTCCCCCCGGCCCCCCCCCCCCCCCCGGCTTACCCCCTTGCTCAGGCTCGCGTGCTCTCCCGTCCCTGCCCTTTGGTCCGCGGTTCACTCCCAGACGTGGCGGTCCTGTTGTCACCCAGGTGCCCCGCTCGCTGGGTGTTTGCTGGGGGGACACACCTTATGCCTTACTTATTCCCGGGCCCCTGGGTCCTCTGCCCGCTTTGGTCCAGCTGAACGAGGTGGAGGCGAGTGCGGGGAAGGCTGCTGTGGGTGGGTGAGCTTTTGCCCACCTGCGCGGGTCTCGCTGGCTCTGGGTGCTCAGCTGTGTGGCGGGTTCTCTGCGCCGTCGGGTTACCTGCTCCCACCTTCCTGGTCGACAGGCCTCGTGGTTTCCCTCTGGGTAAATTCCCATATTAAGTGGGGATGGAGGCTTATTCTGCCCCCCCATAGGAGCCTATCCATCTGTCAGCAGAGTGCACCCCGACGCCTGCAGCGTAACCATATGTGGTGGACTTTCCCAGGGCGCTGGACTCTGAAACTGGCCTCCTAGAAACCCGTGAAGTCTGCTCTGTGGTCCCCACTACGTCCCAACATTCCCCATTGGTGGGCCCTGTGTCAGCGTGGGTTCTATCTTGGCCTCCTACTGGTGTGGTCTTGCCACCTGGGTCAGCGCTTCTGTGCCCAGGTTTCCCTGTCTGTGAAGTGGGATAGTGACAGTGGCCTCTTCCAGGAGCCACTGGGGTTAGTGACCAGACACTCCAGAAGTGCCCAGCAAATGGGTGTATCCTTTCTGTGAATTTTATTTTCCCTCTGTGTGTGGAAGGACCCCGGGGTCTGGTGCCTGCTAAGCAAGTGCTCTACCACTGAGCCCCAGCCATTATCATTTTTGGGGACAAGGTCTCAGTTACCCAGGTTGACCTGGAATTTTTGATCCTCCTCCTTGGCCTTTTGAGTAGCTGGGATTACCTGGACCGGCAACATCTGTGTTTAATGGTCGAACTAACGTCTTGATAGTGGGTATTACTTTTTTTTTTTTGGTCCTGGGGATTGAACTCAGGCACTCAACCACTGAGCCACATCCCAGCTCTATTTTGTATTTTATTTAGAGACAGGTTCTCACTGAGTTTCTTTTTTTTCTTTTAGTTATACATGGACACAATATCTTTATTTTCTTTCTTTCTTTCATGTGGTGCTGAGGATCGAACCCAGGGTCTCACGCGTGAGAGGGGAGCGCTCTACCACTGAGCCACAACCCCAGTCCTCACTTTTTGCTGAGGCTGGCTTTGAACTTGTGATCCTTCTGCCTCAGCCTCCCAGGTCTCTGGTATTACAGGCCTGTGCCACTGCGCCCAACAGTGGACCTTACTTTTAAGTGGATTCACCTCTGCATCTTCCTTCTGCCGCTACTGCTTTGTTATTTTAAGGCTTATTGTTACTGTTGGCATCTCCACTGGGAGGACTCCAGGCAAGAGGGCCTCTTTCCTGGGGGCATTTGGGACCCAGAGAGGGCTTTTGCTTCCCCTGGCTCCAGGCTCCTCCCCACGGATGTTTTTAAAACTGGGGTGTAGATACCTGTGGTGTGGATGGGTAAACTCCTGTGCGTTTCAGTGACAGTCACCGTCCCTGGCTGGCCTGTGCCTACCTGCCTGGGGCTCTGCCCTGCAGCTGGTGCTGGGGCCTGTCACACCCGCTGAGTCACCTACACTTCCTGCTGGAGGAAGTGGTTCCTCCCGACCCAACGGGGAGGGGTGGGTGCCAGGAAGGAGTGTTTTTGTCCAGGGGAGTGGCTGCCAGCAGGTCCCCTCACTGAATGTTGGAGCCAGGGAGGGGCGATGGGGGCAGGTGTTTCTAGAAACTCACCTGCTCCGGCACCTCACCTCTGTCTTCCTCTGGGTGCTGGTAATGCCCACAGTGTGCACGTGGGCTGAGGCTGCCGGGTCTAGGAGCCCCAGATACCACTCCAGGCTCTCAGTTTCCTCCTCTGTAGAGGGGTCTCCTTGGGGCGGGGGGCTGCCTCTGAGTGTGTGGGCGAGTTGCGGAGGGCTGGGGCAGGGGCTCAGTGGCAGAGCTCTTGCCTCAAAAGTATGAGGCCCTGGGTTCGATCCTCAGCACCACATAAAAATAAATAAACAAAATAAAGGTGTTGTGTCCACCTACAACTAAAACAGCATTAAGAAACAAAGAAAGGCGTGGTGAGCCCCACTGTGGGCCCCTGCTTGGGGATCAGCGAGGCCATGGTCAGGCAGTGAACAGGCGAAAGGGGAGCTGGGGAGGCAAGAGAAGGGGTGATGAGCCAGGTGGGGACAGGCCGTTTCTCCAGGGAGTGGACATGGAAGAGAGGCTGGGCTTGTGCAGACATCTGGGTAGACTCTCCTGGCCACCCTGGGGCAGCCCTGGTGGGTGTCAGTGGCTGTGCCCCTCAATCAGAGCCCCAAGGGACAATGTTTATTTTTTCCTTGTTTTTTTGTGGCTCGGGGCATCGAGCCAGGACACTGAACGTCGAGTTACCCCTCCAGTGCTCAGCTCGGCCCTCGGTGAGACGCGGTGAGCCCCTGGTCCCCGTGGCACCAGGTCGGGCTGCAAGGTCTGCCACAGGCATGTGGGAGCAAGGGAAGGGCCTACGGAGTCCTTGGCACCTTCAGGGCAAACCTGGCGGGTGAGGGGGAACAGGGAGGCTGTGGCCCAAGGCCAGCCCCAGGCTCACGTCCACATGTTGCTGGGGGGGCTGGAGAGGCCTGCTTTCTGGGGCCTCAGAGCCCTCATCTGTGAAGTGGGGGTGACGCAGGCCCTGCTGCATGTTATCAGCCTTGACCAGCTGCCAGGGTGGGGCTTGGGGCTGGGCAGGGTTGCCCAGGACTCCGGGGGCAGCCATAGGGACTGTGGCCTGGCTGCCCAGGGGCTCACTGGGTGCCAGCAAGCAGCCAGGCTGAGGACTTGGTTTGCTGTGTCCTTGAAGCTGAGGGACTTGGGATGGCGACTGTACCTTGGCTGACTGATATTTGGGTGGACTTGCCCCTTGGAGTGGCTGATCAGGGGACGGGAAGTAAGCCCAATGCGGAGGAAAGTCTAGGGAGCAGTCATCAGGAATGCTGCATGTGGAATGAGATCCCTGTCACAGGAGGAAACCAAGCAGTGTCCAACCCCTCTTGACTGAGTGCCCCTCCCAGACCCCAGGGGACTACAGGGACCTTTCTTACCCCATGGGCTAGAGCTCCAAAGAGCTGTGCCCGTGTGTCCACCTGCCCTCTGCGCTTCACCAGAGATCATTCTATAAGGAGCACAGACTGAATCCTGGGGGCTCTTTGCATGTGTAGCCCCAGTGGGCACTGGCCTCACTCCTGACCCCACAGAAGTGTCCTATCCCAAAGGTCCTGGATTCTCCTGTGTTTGATCTGTGTCCTGGAGACTCTGGGTACTGGGGCTGATGGGACTTGCTACTCCATCATGGAGTCCTGCTACTCTTTTGAGCACCTGTGTGTGGCAGGTGGGGCTGTGAGTGAGGCCAGCTCTGCCCAGGCTGGGGACCAATGGCCATGGGGCCTGGGGCCCAGAGTGAGCAGGGGAGGCCAGAAGTGGTCAATCCTGGTCCCCTGGACCCCAGAGGCCACCCTTGGCAGGTGCAGGTACCATGAAGTTCTGAGCCTGGGGCCTCATCCTTGAAGCCTGGGGCTGACCAAGCAGGCTGTGCTGCAGTGTCTTCTCATCCCAGAGGGCCCAGCCTCGCCCTGGACAGCTGCTATGTCTTCTCTGCCCCTGGGAGCCCCTCAGGAGGCCTGGCCACCATAGCTCATCTGTTCTTGCAATTAGTGCCTCAAGAGGAGGGCCATTAGCTCCCAGGGTCACTCCTTGGCCCTGGCTCCTGGGAGACACTGTGGGGCCATCGTAGGTGGGCCCTGGCATTGCTTTGAGCTTCTGGGAGCTGCTCACTGGAATACTTGCTGTCCAGGGTGGGGTCTTGATGAAGTCAAGTTTCTCCGTGTCCAGAGGGGCTAGCCTTCAGGTCCCAGAGGCTGTGGGCCTCCCTGGCCTGTAACTGGAATCAGGCAGGCTTGGGGTGAGGGGCTGCAGCTTTTCCTGGCCACCACCTGGCTTGGCCCTGGCCAGGCCTGCTTCCTGCCTGCTGTCCCCGTGCACTGCCTGCCTGTGAAGTGAGGACTGGGGCCCAGGGTGCTACACCCGGGGGGCGGGGGCTGCTCACCCTGGGGGAGATGGGCAGGTGGTGGTGCCGTGGGTTCTGCCTGGGAGTTGCTGTGGTCCTGAGGGTCCCCTGCCTGCCACAGGCCCCTCCCGGGCTGCCTGCCCGCTCTGGCTGGCTCCCAGGTGAAGAGACTGCCTGCCTCCCGGCGGAAGCAGCACTTCATCAACCAGGCCGTGCGGAACTCAGACCTGGTGCCCAGGGCCAAGGGGCGCAAGAGCCGACAGCGCCTGCAGAACAGTGAGCAGGGGGCAGGGGCCTTCCTGGGGATGCCCAGCCTCAGATGGGAATGCTGTGCATGCTGGCCAGCCCTGAGCTCAGCACTGGGCCCTCAGAGCAGGAAGCAGAGCCAGACACAGACCCCTCACACCAGAGGATCAGGGCTGGGCCGGAGGGAGTTCTGGGCATTGGAGCTGGGGCTCTAAAGGGTGGGTAGGAGTTCCATAAGGCAGGGCTCTGGAGGCTGGATGGTCCTTGTACCTTTGGGGAGAAACAGTGGGAGAATGGAGTGAAAAGGCTGGGAAATAGGAAGGGTGGTCATGGGGGTCCTGAATGCCACTGTCAGCCCAGAGGCTGCCTCTCCCCACGCAGCCCAGCACCTGCTGACTCTGCTGGAGACGCATGGGGACCCGCCTGGCCTGGAGGATGGGGACCTGACGCCCTCTGCAGCACCCGGCATCTTCGCAGAGGCCTGCAACAACTCTACCTACGTGGAGGTGAGGCTGCGCCTTGGCACCCCAGCCTGAGCCACTGCATGGCAGACGCTCCTCCTGCCCCTGGGCAGAGTCCCACCCCTCTCCGAAGGCTCCCAGCATCCTGCCCACCTGCTCCTCAGGCTGAAATTAAGGACTAGCTTGTGCAGTGCTGCCCCCAGAGCAGGCCCCCCGGCGCCCGGGGGTGTCCTGGCAGTGGCTTTCCCTAGCCCTCAGCTCAGGCCCACACATCCGTGGGCAGTCCAGTGAACAGGCATCTGCAGCGGGACTTCCCTGGTGCGTGGCCCTCGGCGTCCGTTCGCTGAGCGGGAACAGGCTTGAGGCCCTCGGTCATCGCCGTGGTCTCAGGGCGAGCCTGCCTGCCTCATCCAGGTCTGGAATGACTTCATGAACCGCTCCGGGGAGGAGCAGGAGCGGGTGCTCCGCTACCTGGAGGACGAGGGCCACAGCAGGGCTCGGAGGAGAGGGCCTGCCCGCGGGGAGGACCGGCGGAGAGGTGGGGCCTGGGTCCAGGGGCGGGCCCTGGGGAGCTGGCGGAGGCAGACCTCCTGCGACCCCGCCCCGGGCAGAGGGTGTGGCTTGGCGGGTGGGCGGGGCCTGCAGCTGGCATCACCACCCCTGGGCCCGGCAGAGGACCCTGCCTACACACCCCGGGAGTGCTTCCAGCGCATCAGCCGGCGCCTGCGAGCCGTCCTCAAGCGGAGCCGCATCCCCATGGTGAGTGCCTCGTGTCCAGTGCCGGCCTCCTGCCCAACCCACTCCCTGGGGCTGAGAATCAACCCAGGGCCTCACACAAGGCTGCCACTGAGCCACACCCGCAGACCCTCCCGGGACTTTTTATGGCCTTTTCTACATCAGTTTCTCGTTTGAGGATGGGGTGAAGGGAGGCCTGTTACCCAGGGCACCGATGCGGTGGGAGGTGGTGGGATACAGACCGTGATCATCAACACTGCCGGACCCAGGGTGCTTCTGGGAAGGAGGAGTTCACTAAGCAGGAGACCTAGGCTGGACAGTTGTGTCGATAAAGGTGCCTGGTGTCTTTGGAGAGTAGGTGGCCTCATGAGTGTGTCAGAGGCAACATTTGAACCCAGGGCTTTGGGCTCTGACCTTCCAGTCTTGGGTGTTCTGGCCCTTGGGCAGCAGGGCCCCATGGTGGCTTGAGCTCTGGGCCCCATTTTTCCACAGGAAACACTGGAAACCTGGGAAGAGCGACTGCTGGGATTCTTCTCCGTGTCCCCCCAGGCCGTGTACACAGCCATGCTGGACAACAGGTCAGGGTGGCGGGCAGCAAACTGTGTGCGTGTGTGTGTGTGTGTGTGTGTGTGTGTGTGAGAGAGAGAGAGAGAGAGAGGGTGGGGGGAACTCCTGCCCTGGCCACTCACTGCCCATGTGTCCATAGCTTCGAGAGGCTGCTGCTCCACGCTGTCTGCCAGTACATGGACCTCATCTCAGCCAGTGAGTGCCCAGTCCCCATCCCCACATGGTCAGCCAGGAAGCAGCCTGGGTGGCAGGAAGGTGTCCTGGGTGGGTGCGGCTCAAGCAAAGGGTGGCCCTGGGATGCTGCCTTCACTCGTCAGAAATGCCCTGTGTGCCAGCCCCCTGCTGGGTAGAGCTGGGCAAATGGTCAGACATCCTCCATCCACACCCCCAGGGCAGGGGAGAGGGCCTGGCGGGGGTGTCCAAGCCTGGCTTCGAGGGTCTGTGCACCCTGAAAGCCAGCCCAGCTTAGCCTGTGTCTGTAGGCGCCCTCCCCAGGCCCAATGGGGTGGTCTCAGGACAGCCCCTCCCTGGGAGGGGCACAGCAGGCCCTTGCCAGCCCCAGGTGCCCCTGGTGTCCTGGCCTCCCACCCCTGTCTGTCTCCTGCCTGGAGTTGTTGCGAGGTTTCCTGGCAACCCTGGATGGCTCCTCCCCTGTGCTCTCTTGGACCAAGCTCCCTTTGTTCCCCAGTCTGGGGGTGGAGGGGCTTGGTTGGTGGGGCCCTGCTTGGCAGGGGTCAAGCTGTGTCCAGGTCTTGGAGGACCCAGGGCAAGGGAGAAGGGCTCCCAGACCAGCTCCAGCAGGGGCCAACATGGTGTTCCAGGCTGGTTCTGTTTGGCCAGGAGGGGAGGCACGCCTGGGGCCTTGGCACTGTGAAGACACCTCTCGTGCAGACCGGGAGACCCACAGGAGACCAAATACTCAGTGACACACACGTGAGAGTATCCACTTGGCCTTGAGCCCTGTGTGCTCAGTGTCTCTGCCTGAGAAATGGAGTTATTAACAGCAAATGCTGAAATGGTCCAGTCAGAGGCACTCAGGGCAGGTCTAGTCCTTGTGAGTCCAGCCTGGGGCCCGGGGACTGTGGCCTCAGCGTGCAGCAGCCCCGTGGCCCCTCCATCCACACTCTCCACATGCAGGGGCCGGAGTCCGTTAATTCCTGCCTGCTTGTCACTGCCACAGGTGCGGATCTGGAGGGCAGGCGACAGATGAAGGTCAGCAACCGGCACCTACAGTTCCTGCCTCCCGGCCTGCTTCTGTCTGCCTACCTGGAGCAGCACAGCTGATGGAGGCCACCCAGTGCCCACCTGCCACCTTGCCCAGCGCCAAGACATTGTGCCATCTGCTAAAATGCCTACCATGTTTTTAGAATTTGTCTTTAACAACTGCTGTCCCCTTGGGTGGCTCTCTCACCTTTGCCCTAACCGTCCTCTCTTATTCAGATGAACATCGGGGCTTGAGCTGCCCAAACTGTCTCAACCGTGCAGTGCCCCACCCCAGACTTGTATTTGGGTAGGGAGTTCTGACCTGGGTACTTCCATGTTTCTTTGGTTATTAGCTTTCTTGGCCCAATTTAAAGCTCAGATGAGGTAGGAGAGGCTGGGTTTTTATCACTTTTTATGAATTTGGCATGATTTGTTGTAGATTTTTAAATTTCCTTTTTGAAGAAAGAAAAAAAAAAACAAAATCACTTGTCCCACCTGGTAAATAGTGGGCTTGGTCACAGCCTTTGCTTGACTTTTCCTAGTTTTTAGCTCTTGGGTGGGGGGTGGGGGGTGGGGGTGGGGGTGGTTCTCTGCCCCTCACCCCAGGAGCATTTTCTCTGTGTGTGTGTGTGTGAGTGTGTGCGCACGCATGTCTGGGCCCTGCACCCTAGGACACCGCTGCATCTCAAGGGCTGGTTTTATGCTTCCTGATATGTCTGTGTCGTGTCCCATCCCGCCCTCCCTTTTATACTAGGGATCCAGGACTTCCAGCCAGAAGCCGCTGTCCTCAGCTACCCCGTCCCTCCATGACCCAGCATCCTCTGCCCCAGCCTGGCTCTGGCCCAGGGGTCCAGAGTATCCTCATGCTGGTGGGCCCTGCTCCTGTGTGCCTGTGCGTGGCTAGTTGTGCTTGGAGGACAGGGGAGTGTTTAATAAATTTCTGGTGCTCCGGCTGCAGGCTGAATGGTGTCTTTTAAGGTCCTGGTCAGTGTTCAGGCCTCACCCAGGTTCTGTGGTGAGACATACTGCCCGTGTTCTCTGAGACACCGCTAGCCGTCAGCGCTCTGCCATGCTGGCTGTGCCCACTGGTGCCAGCTGTGTGGCCTCAGGTGAGTCACTGTATGCATGTCCTGCAGCTGCAGTGACGGAGAACTGTGGGTCCCAGAGTGTCTCCTCCCTGGGGCCTGGGTCAGGTCAGGTGTGTGCCGGCAGCTGCCCCAGAGGCGGCCTCTCCTGGATCAGTGGCTGGTGGCTGTATCACCTGCCTGCCTTGGCTCTGGCAGGCTCCTCCTGGTGTGTCTTCACAGGGTCTCCCCTCTGTGTGTCTGGGTCCATGTTTGGCATGGACACTGGCCACAGGAGTTAAGGCCCTCTCACCACTATGGTTTAAACTGTGCTTCTGTAAGGACCCACTTCCATCAAGTCACACCCTGAGGTTGTGGGGCTAGGACTTCCATATGCCTTTTGGGGGGGACCCAATTCAGCCTATTACAGCACTTAATCGTGCCTCAGTTTCCCTGTCTGAGAAACAGGTCAGTACATGAAGTAGGTGAACTGGTCCCTGTGAGGTAGCTTGCTCCTTTATGGAAGACCTCTTGCTTCTTGTTTCTGATTATAATTTAGCATTTTCCCCCAACTTCTTTTATTCTTTCTTTTGGGTACCAGGGATTTAATGGAGGGGTGCTTTACCACTGAGCCGCATCTCCGGTCCTTTTTATTACTTTGAGACAGCATCTTGCTGTGTTGCAGAGACTGGCCTGGAACTTGCCATCCTCCTACCTCAGCCTCCAGGAGGAGGGGGCCCCAAACCCATCTCCATTTCTATTTTTTCCAGCTGTTTGGGAGGGAATTTCAGACCTGAGGCTCTTCACCCAAGCGCCTCAAATGCCCTGGCCCAGTCATGGGGGCTATCTGCAATCTCTCTCTTTTTTTTATATTTTTATTTATTTTTTTTCAGTTCTTGGCGGACACAACATCTTTGTATGTGGTGCTGAGGATTGAACCCGAGCAGCACGCATGCCAGGCGAGCGCGCTACCGCTTGAGCCACATCCCCAGCCCTCTGCAATATCTCTTAACCTCATTGGGGAACTGGACCCTGGTCCTGGCAGCGTCTGATATCTGGACCACTGTTTTGAAGGAGCTCAAATGTCTCCGACATTTCAGAAATTGAGGCAGAGCTGGCCCAGCGGGGCGTTAGGGCGGCAGGTGGGCCCGTGCTGATGCACGTGGAGGAACCAGGCTTCTTCGTAGGCTCTCATCCCCAGGGCCCCCCAGTTCACTGGCCCTTCTCCCTGGGCTCCTCCGGGCCGGGAAGCGCGCTGTCCTTCCTTTGATGAGCCCAGGTCGCGGGAGGAGCGTTTGGGATGTATTGCAGATGCTGGGGACTGCGGGAATCCTGCGGATGGTGCGGGTGGGCTGCGCGCCAGGGTGCGGGCCCGGGCTCCCGCCGAGTCGGTGGCCTACAGGACGCTGCACTTCTCCCGGGGAGCTGCTCCCGCCGAGCTCTCCTTGCCCGGACGGAGGAAGGCAGGGGTCTGCGCCCAGGCTGGTCTGGGCCCTAGGTCTTCGCCGCTGGTGGCCGCTCGCCGGGGACGCCGGCCTTCTGCCCTGGCGGGGTGATCGACACCCCTGGTGTCCTGGAGAAGGTCCCACGGGGCTCCGGGAGCGCGCCCCTCTCCCGGGGCCTAGGGCAGGAGGCCAAGCCGTGCCCACGCAGGTCGCACTGCGAACCCTCCAGTAAAAGGTCGGAAGCGCCGGGGAACTAAGCCCCGGGCCAGCGCGGACTGGAGGGCCGCCGTGGCCGCAGCTCGGGCGGTTCCTCGCTGCCCTCCAGGCTTGGTCACACCCGGATGGTCCTGCTGGATGGTCCTGTTGAGATGAGGCTTGAGGGTGCAAGAGCTTCACTTTAAGATGTCACCCGGCTCAACGGGTTCCCCACCGGGACCTCCAATGGAGCCTCGGGTTCCCCACCGAGATAGAGAAGGAATGAAAAGAGCTGAGATGCCTGTAAGGGAGCTTCGGGTTGCCTGCCCCTGAACATCGCACCAAAAATATGGAACGCTTCACGAATTTGCGTGTCATCCTTGCGCAGGGGCCATGCTAATCTTCTCTGTATCGTTCCAATTTTAGTATATGTGCTGCCGAAGCGAGCACGAATGATGCTTTCTCCATTTCGGTATTTACAGAGCAGATATTCAAACACTTTACAGTGCAGGTGATTATTCCTAAAACAATTTTAACAACTATTCAATCCTTTTAGTATATTACATCGGAATCAGCGCAACCAAGTGAAATTATGGTCAAGATATGACAAAATATCTTTTTTTAAACTAAATATAATATTTTCCGGACTAAATTCAGCACAAGGCCTACTAGGAATTGCTTTATGCAAATAACCCGGAAGCGGGGCGGAGCCAGAGCCTTCGCCGTCCCAGAAGTCTCCGCGAAGTGCTCTTGGGTGCCTGGAGCCGGCGGCGGGCGGCCGCACGTAGCGTGAGGCGGGCGGAGCGGAAGCCGGTGGGCTCAGGTAGCGGGGGCCGGCGGGGCCTGGAGGCCGGGGGCGGGGCCTGCGGGGTCAGAGGGCGGGCTGGAGGTGAAGGGTGCTAGGTCCCCGAGCTGCGGGGGAACTCTGGGGCGGTGTCCGCCATGCCACGGGGGCGGGGTCCTCCTCGCATCCCGAGGGTGCGCCGGGCAGGCTCCCGGGCCTGAAGGCAGACGGAGTTGGGGGCAGGGCTGCAGGACTGTTAAGGGTGTGTGGGTGCATCTCGGTGGAGCAGAGGGAGCGTAGAGGAACATGGGGTGGTGGTCATTCCTCTCTCCTGGGCCCCACCGCGGACGCCAGGCACGGCAGAGCCTAGGAGCGCTGGCTCGGCAGCCCAGCCCCTCCCCCAGCTCGAGCGTCCCTGGGTCAGCCTTTACAGACACGGGGTCCACTCACTTCTCAGTGTCTACACCCCTGTCCTTGCTTACCTGGAGCAGCCCAGTCACCCGACCTGTCCAGGGCTGCACCTTGGGCCTCCAAGTCTGCCCCTAGAAGGCCCCTGTGGGCATGTTGAAACCTACATAGGTCCCAGGCCTCCTGGCACCCACAAGGCCCAGGAGCAGCCCCCTGCTCTCCTGCTCTCATCCCTCAGGTGTGATCCAGCCCCAGGGCCTTCGCCCTGGCTACTCCTGCCAGCTGAACCCTCCTCCCTCTGGTGTGCCTCACTCAGGTACGGCTTCCCCAGGAGGCCTCCCTAGCTGTTGAAACCTGAGTCCGAAGCCAGGTGCTGCTGCAGACCTGTCACTACTGGGGGAGAAGCTGAGGCAGGAGGATCACTGGAGCCCGGGGTTTGAGACTGGCCTGGGCAGCATAGAGATCCTGTCTGAATAAAACGGAGAATTACATTCCTCCGTCGCTCACGTTGAAGCCAAGTTCAGGGACCTGGCCATCTCAGTCCCAGAACCACTCAGTTGGAGCCCTTGGCAAGCCCGACCTCCTTTCTGCAGGAGCAGTGAGTGTACGTGCACAGTGGGCACGATGGACCTGGCCTACGTCTGTGAGTGGGAGAAGTGGCCCAAGAGCACCCACTGCCCATCAGTGCCCCTGGCCTGTGCCTGGTCCTGCCGCAACCTCATCGCCTTCACCACGGACCTCCGCAGCGATGACCAGGGTGTGCCCCTGCCCACCCACCTGCACACTGTCACCATTGCTCCCAGCACATTGCCTCAGGCTCTCTGCTGACCAGACCTGGCAGAGAGCCCTTCCCCTGCCCTGCTGTAGTCTGCACTTGGGGTCCAGAGGGTTATCGGTGCCACACCTGGTGCAGGGGCTGCCCTCCCCCATGAGTGGAAGGACGGAACTTGGGCTGGGATCACTGAAGGACACTTGCAGGACACTCAGCCCTGGTTCTGGGCTGAGTGTCCTGACATGGCTGTGGATAGCTTCTGAGGTGTGCAGTGACTTTCCCCCACTGTCTGTTGTTCTGGCCATGTGCTCTTGTGGGGGGAAGTCACAGAAGCACGGGTTCAGGGCATTGAGAAAGCCACCTAGTACTTTTGACGCGAGACACCCACTGTTAGCTCCTGTGGTCCTGTGTTTCCCGTCCAGTTCTCTGGGGTTCCCCACAGGGTCTCCACCCAGCCCCCAGGCCACAGGTCCCGCAAGCTGGCTGCTGGCTGGAGGAGGCCAAGTGAGACCTGCCCCTCATGCTCTCACCCTCAGACCTGACCCGCACGATTCACATCCTGGACACAGAGCACCCCTGGGATGTGCACTCCGTCAGCTCCCAGCACCGCGAGGCCATCACCTGCCTGGAGTGGGACCAGTCAGGTGAGCACCAGGGAGGGGGCACTGCTGGCCTGGCCAGTCCCAGAGTATCTACCACTCTTCCCACAGGCCTTCTGGGCCCTTACTGTGGGCCCGGCTGCTCAGCTATGCCTTCTCGAACCCTTGTCGCTGTGGAGGGCTCCTGACGCCCTGTTCCCACAGGCTCCCGGCTCCTCTCCGCCGATGCCGACGGGCAGATCAAGTGCTGGAGCATGGCGGACCACCTGGCCAACAGCTGGGAGAGCTGCCTGGGCAGCATGGTGGAGGGGGACCCCATCGTGGCCCTGTCCTGGCTGCACAATGGTGTGAAGCTGGCGCTGCACGTGGAGAAGGTGGGTGTCCTGAGCGAATGAGCAGCATCAGCCCCTGTGCTCAAACCTCTGGTGTGTTCTGAGCCTGCAGCCCTGGTCCTCAGCAGGCTACTTGTTAGCCAATGGCTGCTGTCCTCGGTGAGCCACCCACTTCCCGGATGGCCATGTCCTGAAAACCCGGCCCACCCTTGACCTTTCATCAGTAACGTTCTGAATTCTGTATTCTGTGCTTTAGCCAGTCAGGAGTGGGGCCGCTGGGGCCCGGGACATTCTAGTCATTCCTGGCTCCATGCTTCTGTGCCAGTTGCCTCCTGGTTGGCAGAATCGTCCTGGGGATATGGTGAGGAGGCTGGCCAGGGCCTGTGCTCTGCCGCTTCCTGAGTCTGTCCTGGCTGCGCCTGTGCAGCCTCCGCGAGACTTTCAAGACCTCTTTGACCTGTTTAGAAAAGTTTTGTTGAGACACGATGCTCACAGTCCGTAACTCACCTGTGTAAAATGTAAAGTCCAGAGGTGTTTCATGTTTCCACAAAGTGCATCCGTTCCCTCTGATTCCAGAACATTCTGCCTCCCACAAGGTGACCCTGCCCCCTCAAGCAGCCCCATCCCTCCCCAGCCCTGCACCCAGATCCATCTCTAAACTTTGCTGTCCTTGACTCTCCTGTCACTGGGTCACTGTGACCTGTATGTCTGGGTCTCACTGAGTCTCACCAGGTCCTCAGGCCCAGCCGTGCTGCAGCTGGGGCCATCCTCACGAGGTCACCTGCCTTAGTATATCCTATAGGCAGATTGGCCACCTGATCTGGAGTCCCGCTGCACCCAGGGCCCACGGTTCCCAGAGCACATCGCCCGAGCCAGAAGGCGGATGTCATACCAGTACAGGTGGTCTGCCCAGGGCTGTGGACCACACGTGGGCTGGTTGTACCCAGTGACCTGTGAACTCTTTTTCTTTCTTTCTTTCTTTTTGCAGTACTAGGAATTGAACCCAGGGCCTTACACATCACAGGCAAGCAGTCTACCACTGAGCCTCATCCCAGCCCTTTTTGAAAAATTCTTATTTTATTTTGAGACAGGATCTTGCTAAGTTGCCCAGCCTGGCCTAGGACTTGGGATCCTCCTGCTCCGCCTCCTGAGTGGCTGGGGTAGCAGGAGGTGCCACTGTGCTGGGCTCCCTACCTGCCTCTCTAGATGAAGCTTTGCTGGCACACAGCCACACCTGTTTGTGGACAGTGTCTCTGTGGCTTTTTCTGCCCTACACAGGCGGAAACAGCCCGGGGGCTGCAGCAGGGACTGTCTGGCCTTTTACAGAGAAAAGTCATGACGCTGTGTGTACATTCACCCGTTTCCTCCCCACAGCGGTTCTCCAAAGACTTGTTCTGCTTCTGTCAGCAGCAGAGGACACTGAGGCTCAGAGAGGCCCATATCATGCAGTGCTCCAGTGGCTAGGCAGCAGCGGCTCAGGCCCAGGGACTCTTTGGCCACCTTCCAGTGTGCTGGTGTTTCTGTGGGTGCAGTGACCAGAGGGGCTTGTCGGGTCAGGAAAGGCAGACCCCAGGCTGAGCAGGCCTTTCGCCTCTCCCTTACAGTCAGGTGCCTCTAGCTTTGGTGAGAAGTTCTCCCGCGTCAAGTTCTCGCCGTCACTCACGCTGTTTGGCGGCAAGCCCATGGAGGGCTGGATCGCAGTGACCGTCAGCGGCCTGGTCACAGTGTCCCTGCTCAAACCCAGCGGGCAGGTGTTGACATCCACCGAGAGCCTGTGCCGGCTGCGTGGCCGCGTGGCCCTGGCTGACATCGCCTTCACGGGCGGCGGCAACATTGTGGTAGCCACCGCGGATGGCAGCAGTGCCTCGCCCGTGCAGTTCTACAAGGTGTGCGTGAGCGTGGTCAGCGAGAAGTGCCGCATTGACACAGAGATCCTGCCCTCGCTCTTCATGCGCTGCACCACAGACCTCAGTCGCAAGGACAAGTTCCCCGCCATCACCCACCTCAAGTTCCTGGCCCGGGACATGTCCGAGCAGGTGAGGAGCCGCCACCATGCTCACTGGCATAAGCAGCATGGATCTTTCCCTCGGGTTGAGTCCGGAGCTGACTGGGGCCTTCCTGCCCAGATCTCGGTGCAGCAGACCGGGTCTCCCAAGGAGGGTCCTTGTCCCTCTCCTCCAGGTCTTGTGACCCCAGGAAGAGTCCTCATCCCCCTCTTTCAGCTGCTGAGGCCCAGGGAAGGACAGTAGTCCTGGTCCCCTCCTCCAGCTCCTGAGGCCTCGCAGCCCTCGGCCCCAGCCCCCTCCTCCAGCTCCAGGGCCAGCAGCACAGTGTCTTGCAGGCTCCCTGATTCTGACCCTTCTGCCTCCTCTCAGGAGGTCCCTGTGGTGACCCTGGGTGACCCCAGCTCAGGGCCTCCCATGTTGCCACCTCAGAGCCCCTCTGCCCCAGGAAGTAACATAGCACAGGCCCAGGGACGAGGGCTGCGTGTCTTTGATCCCCCAGGTCACCTGAATTCCCTGTGGGCCCCAAAAGTCTGGAAGCCCCTGTGTGGTTCCCTTGTGCCCTCCTCAGGGAGGTCCTGTGCTGTGCGACCTCGCTCCAGGGTGTGGGCCCAGTTCACAGGCCTGTGAGGTCCCGGGGCTGGGAGGGACACTCGGAAGGCCCTGTCCCCATGCCTGACCCAGCCACACCCCAGGTGCTCCTGTGTGCGTCCAGCCCGACGAGCAGCCTCGTGGAGTGCTGGTCCTTGCGCAAGGAGGGGCTCCCCGTGAACAACATCTTTCAGCAGATCTCTCCCGCTGGTGAGTCTTCTCGGGCCCTGGGCAAGTCTGGCCTTGGCCTTTCCCAGCCCTCAACTCTGTCCTCTCACACCACATCGAGGCAGGGGCTTTCATCCTGGTCTCTGGGGTAGGAAACAGGCTAAGAGGCGGAGCTGTCCACCCGTTGCCTGCAGAGGCAGCAGGCACCTGGTCTCAGGACACGGAGTGCAGAGGTCCTGGGGGGATGTGGGGGTGGGCAGGAACAGGCGCAGGGCAATGAGCAGCATACACGGGCCTGTAGCCACAGGAGACTATATTTTGAACGTCATGGAATCTTCCAGAGACCCTGGTTTGCCAAAGTTTGGGCTTGCTGTTTGTCCAGGACACACGACCCAGCCTCCTGCTGCCTGGGCCCTCCCAGGGGAGCCCTCCCAGCACAGCCCCTGGGGAGCCACGGATGTCCATACCACCCACCCACCCAGTCAGCCCTAGGTTCCAGGCTCACCTGCCCTGGAGGGAGATGCCTTCCCGTTGGCCTTAGTGGACCCTAGAGTGGTCAGCCTTGAGTGTGCTGAGCAGAAGCTGCTAATGAGACCATCCTGGCTCCTGCCAGTCTGGGAGGTGGTCATGTGACTCCTGGCTGTGGCCGGGTGTCTGAGGGCGCAGGCAGCCTGGGCACTTGGCCAGTGGCTGACACCACGTCGCCTGGCGGGCAGGGCTACCAGGGCCATGCTGGGCCTCTGGCAGAGCTCAGCTGGCCCCCGCCCCTCTCCTGCCCCTTGTCCTCCAAGAAGCCTTGTGGGGCACTTGCAGCCAGGCCAGGCAGACCTGCTGCCCCATGCCCAAGGCACCTCCCCACAGCGGGCCTGCCTGCTGTCCTTGTCCCTCTTTCCTGCGGCCCTGAGGTCCCACTCCTCCCTCATCACCTGCTGCAGTCCAGCCCATGGCCCAGGCTGTCCTGGCTCAGGGCAGACCAGAATGGGGACTGGGGGGACAGGTGGCTCAGCCCCTTCCAGCTGTGCCCTGTGGTTTAGACTGGGGACCATGGCTAGCACCTAGGGAGCAGGCAGGTCTTCCAGCACGAGGTGACATTCCACAGGGTGGACGGCCACAGGTAGACTGACCTCTGGCAGTCTTGGCCACTCTGGGCCTAGCCACTCCCTGGGTACAGTGCTGGCCTGAACTCCCCGCCAGCCTGGGGCGGTTCAGAGGTCAGGGCCAGACACACCGAGCAGCCCAGTGAGCTGGGGGCCCTGGATGCAGTAGGACTGGTTCCCCTTGTGCAGCCTTTGTGGTCTCCTGTCCCCTCCCCGAGTCTGTGACCAGTGGCTATCCTGGGCTCCTGACTTCTCCAGGCCCCAGGCCTCCAGTCCCTGGGGCACTGCCCTGGAGGGTGGTGGGCTCCGTGGCGTGTTCTGGTCCCACAGCGTCAAGGAGCAAAAGACCCAGCTCGGCTGGTCTGTGCCCGGCTCTAGGGTGGTGGTCAGCTTCTCTGCTGGGTCAGTCCCATCTGGGGACAGGTGCGTGTCCCCACCACCAGCTGTGCGCTCCTTGTGTGCAGTCCCAGAAGTGCATCCCGTCTGGGCAGAACCCAGGCCGGAAGAGGCGCCCGTGCCCGCCCCAGGCCTCGGACCTGCTTGGACGTGCTTCCTCGGGTCTCAACTTTCCTCCTCCACTTTCCCACCCCCAAATGCTCCAGTTGGTGACAAACAGCCCATGATCCTCAAGTGGCGGATCCTGTCAGCCACCAATGACCTGGACCGTGTGTCGGCTGTGGCACTGCCCAAGCTGCCCATCTCTCTCACCAACACTGACCTCAAGGTGGCCAGCGACACCCAGTTCTACCCCGGCCTTGGTATGCTGAGCTTGGGAGGGTCTGGGGGAGCCTGGCCTCCTGGCTCTACTCCCGTGGAGAGGCCAGCCCATGGCAGGGTGGCAGGGTCTGAGCGCTCAGTGGCTGGAGGCTCTGGCTGAGCCTGCACTGCTAGTGTGTGGGACATCTGACGTTGAGGATCAGCCCGTGACGGCGGGGGGGCAGGGAAGTCCCAGGCCAGACCAGCCACACTAGCAAGCCTGCTTGTGGTTGTGGGTACACACCTGTGGGCCTGCCCACAAGCAGTTGGGCTCACTGTCCAGCACAAGCCCGTGTGCTCAGCTCTGAGGTGAAGACCTGTCCACCAGTTCCTTCTGTTTTCCAATTTGCTGGGAAGAAGAGCACTTACCACAGTTTGCACTGGTTGCTGGACATGGTGGCCGCGCCAGTTGTGCTGCAGTGGAGCAGGAGCACGGCAAGTTCAAGGCCAGCCTGTGCGATTTTGCCAGACCCTGTTCTAAAACAAATACCAAAATGGTGTGGTAGAATCAGTTCAATCCCCAGTTCCAAAGATAGTAACAATGATAATTTCTGCATCAGTCTCATGGCCTTTTATTTAGAGCTGAAAGGACAGACAGAATCTTTGTTTTCATCCATGCCACCTCCAGGGACCGTGTTGCCGGCTCTTATCTATGAGTCTATGGGTGTGGAACTGCCTGCCCTCCTGATGGGCAGGGCCAGGACTGGCTGTGGGCAAACCTCTGGTTTCCCTAAGACAGCTGCAGGTGACGGGCACGGAGGGCCCCAGCTTGCCTCCACCATGGACGGCTCCCTCCAGGGCTCCAGGGACCTCCACGAGGCTCTGTGTCTGGTTCCTGCAGGTCCAGGAGGTCCCAAGTCCCATCTAGCGGAGGCCTCCTGCCTTGTCCCTGGAAGGCGCTGGCAGCCACGCCAGCCCAGGTGCTACCTGGCCCAGGGCCTCGGGGCTCGAGCCCGAAGCCTGACTCTGGGGATTTAGTAGCAAGAGGTGGGGAGAGCAGCTGCCAGGGGTAGGCTGGACACCAGCAGCAGCTCTCAGCCCAGTTCCTGGCTCCTTGCCCTTGTGTACCTGATGCCACCTGTCCCCAGGGCTGGCCTTGGCCTTCCATGACGGCAGCGTCCACATAGTGCACCGCCTCTCGCTGCAGACCATGGTGGTCTTCTACAGCTCCGCGACCCCGCGCTCTGTGGACGAGCCGGCCATCAAGCGCCCTCGCACCGCAGGCCCTGCAGTGCACTTCAAGGCCATGCAGCTCTCCTGGGCTTCCCTGGCCCTCGTGGGCATCGATAACCATGGGAAGGTGAGTGCCCTCAGGACGCCTGCAGAGCTGGGGACGTGATGACCAGAGCACCAGGGCTCCTGCCCTCCGCCGGAGGGACACAGGGGTGGGTCCCCTTGCTGTTCTCCTCACCATTGCTGGCAAGTCCTTCAGCCTCCAGCCTGCACTGCCCCATCATCAGGTGACCTGGAAAAGGCCCCAGCCTAGTATGGGCACTAGTGGGCACCCAGGGGGCAGAAGCGGTCAGACTGCCTGTCCCGAGGCCTCAGGGTCCAGTGGTGCCCCCCAAGCCTGGCAGGCATCGGGCCCCCACCCAAGACGAGTGTGTGCTCAGCTCAGAGAGGTCTGGGAGCCTCCTGGACATCCAGCTGTGCCCGAGGCTCGAGGGAGCGCCTGGCTGAGGCCAGCCTGTGGGGCCTGGAGTGTGGGGTGGCCAGGGTGAGCCACACCCCCGCTGCCTGCAGCCCAGCCTGGAAGGTGCAGGCCGACCCTCCCTGTCCCCTCCTGTCCCCTCCTGGCAGCTGAGCATGCTGCGCATCTCGCCCTCCATGGGCCACGCACTGGAGGTGTCCCTGGCCCTGCGGCACCTGCTGTTCCTGTTGGAGTACTGCATGGTGACAGGCTACGACTGGTGGGACATCCTGCTGCACGTGCAGCCCGGCATGGTGCAGAGCCTGGTGGAGAAGCTGCACGAGGAGTACACACGCCAGAGCGCAGCCCTACAGCAGGTGGGCTCCCTGGGGCACGAGGTGGGGCTCACCTGGGGCAGGTCATGGGGGGGGGACCCCAGCCTGGGGCAGTGAATTGGGGGATGTCAGCCTAGGGCAGTTGAGGTGGGGGCCTCACCTGGGGCAGTGAGGCTGCATGTGCAGTTCAGGGCAGGTGAGGTGCTATAGATAGGATACTGTGGGGCCCTGCACCTGGGAAAAGCTCTCTGGCTCTCCTCCTTAGTTTGGGGGCTTTTTTGGTGTGGGGTCTGATGGTCAGATCCAGGGCCTTGGCTCTGCCTGAGCTATACCCCGGTCCTTCACAAGTTTCTTGTGAAAGTGAAACACTGCAAGTAGGTCTTGAGCCTTCTTGGACCTCCCTCCTGACACGGCTAACAGCGGGGTCTCTGGACCACCCCCAGAACTCACTAGGTCCGAGGTGTGCCATTGGCAACCTCAGACATGGCAACAGGAGGAGCGGGGAAGCTTGGAGCAGGAGGCTATGGTCTCACCAGAGCCCAGGGGGGCAGCGGGGCAGGACAGTCCTGTCGTGCAGGAGGCCCTGGGTTTCATCCCCAGCACCAAGAAAAACATCCTGGTCTTCTTTAGCCCAGTAGTAACCAGAGAAGGTCAGCAGGGTCCCACTCGCAGCAGGATCTGGTGGGAAGCCGGTCAGGTTGTCTTGGAGGCTGGGGCCGGAGGGCATCTTGTGGCTGGTACACACAGCCCTGGGTTCCATCCCAGCACCAAAACAGAGTGGAGGAAGCTGGGATGGAACCCAGACGTCGGGTGGCACGGGAGACTGGCCAGCAGCTGACCGCTCACTCGCCAGTGTGCCAAGCACTTGGGTACTTTGACTCTGCTCCCCCTCGGGGGTCTCTTCCTTGCCACTGAGTCTCCTGTCGAGCAGTGAACCTGGCTTCGCCCACTTGTTGCTAGAACCATGCCCTGTCATAACCGTCACTGAGTGCCCACTGGGGACAAAACTGTCCCAGGCCGACCCCGTGAGGCAGGTCCTCCTACTGTTCAGTTGGCCTTGAGGGGAGTGAGGCCCAGAAAGGCTAGTGGGCAAGCCGAGGTGCTACGGCCTGCCAACTGGCTTGCTCTGGGGTGTGTCCACCCCAGGCCCAGGTGGGATCCTCAGCCCACCTGCCCTCCTGCACACATTCGTTCCCCAGGTGCTCTCCACCCGGATCCTGGCCATGAAGGCCTCACTCTGCAGGCTCTCGCCGTGTACGGTGACACGCGTGTGCGACTACCACACAAAGCTTTTCCTGATGGCTGTCAGCTCCACGCTCAAGTCTCTGCTGTGTCCACATTTCCTCAACACCCCTGATAAGAGCCCTGGCGACCGGCTAACCGAGATCTGCGCCAAGATCACGGACGTCGGTGGGTGAGAGTCTGGGACAGGGCCTGTGGCCTGTTTTGTTTCTCATTGGTAACATTATTCAGGTTCTTGGTGGAAAGTTTAGACAAAACCCAGTGATAGGTACTTGCAAAGGAAAAGCAAATGTGCTTCTGTGTGTGTGTTGCTGGGGATGGAACCCAGGAGGGCTCACCACTGAGCTTCATCCCAGCCATTTTTATTTTTATTTTTGAGACAGTCTTGCTAAGTTGATGAAGCTAGTCTTGAACTTGAGATCCTTCAGCCTCAGCCTCTTGAGTTGCTGGGATGACAGGTCTGTGCCAGGCGCCCAGCTAACATTTCCCTTCTAAAACTCCAGGCTTCCCAGGCCAGGGCTGGGGCTCAGTGGGGCTCAGCAGTAGATCCTGGTGTGCACAGGGCCTTGGATTCCACACCCAGGACTGCCCCAAACAATCAGGTTTCTGACTTACTGCTGAGTACACAGTATGTGTGGCCATGTGGCCCTCAGAGGAAATTGGAACTACCTAGAAGAAAAGTTCCCCATCACCCCGTGGCACACCAGGGACACCACCCAGCAGGGAAGGGGCTGCTGTTGTCAGGTGGTGGCACAGAGGTATGACCAGCTGCCCCAGCAGCCTCTGTCTCCCAGGCCTCTCTAGGGGATGGGGCACTGTCTCCTGCCCGCCACCTCTCCACATGGCGATACCCAGGCCTGGCCTCTGCCGTCAGGCCTGTTTCTGTGAGTGGCAACCCCGGGAACCCCGTGCACACACCCGCCCCCTGGTGCCAGTGCATCACACAAGCTCACACTACAGATATGGTGGGAAGTGGAAAAGAGGCTTTTCCTCCCGGTATTATCAGTGTTATTGATACCAGGGACTGAACCCAGGGGTGCTTAGCCGCTGAGCCACATCCCAGCCCTTTCTGTTTTATATTTCAAGACAGTCTTGCTAATTTGTTGAAGCTGACCTTGAACTTGTTATCCTCCTGCTCAGCCTCCCGAGTCACTGGGATAACGGGTGTGGCCACCATGCCTGGCTCCTGGTGTTATTTTACAGTAGTACCTTGTGGTGACTGTTCAGTGATCCCTCTGCAGGGGCACAGTAGGTTAGCCAGCAACCCCTGCTGCTTCGTGCTGAGTGGCTGTGATTGCCCTGGTCTGCTCATGGCCAGCCAGTCCTTCCTGACAGAGGGGGTCATGTCACCCTAGGACCCACCTGAGAAACACCTGTGGGGTGTAAATAGGTGCTAGGCCACCACTGGATGCCTCCCTTGCTGGTGGCCCTTACTGTGAGCCCAGACGATGTTCCCCACAGGGCCAGGTCTGCATTTGCAATGTCCCAAGTATGTGGAGGCGTGGAGGCCAAGAGCAGCTGAGAGGCGGCCCAAGTGGGCAGGCAGCTCGAGCTGGCTCCTCTCCAGCCGCCTCCTTGAAGCCCCTGCTGTGCTGCACTGCATGTCCATGTTGGCATGGGCTCCTACCAGGGCCAGAGCAGTGGGTGCTCGTCTGTGCAGGGTGCAGGGCCTGAATGGTAGCAGGCAAGGCGTGCACACATGAGGACCTGGCCACTCTGACTGCTCTGACCTTGTTCTTTTTAGACATCGACAAGGTTATGATCAACCTCAAGACTGAGGAGTTTGTCCTAGACATGAACACGCTGCAGGCGCTGCAGCAGCTTCTGCAGTGGGTGGGCGACTTTGTGCTTTATCTCCTGGCTAGCCTGCCCAACCAGGTATGTCGAGGCCCCACCTCCAAGTCACCTCTTCCACTCCCCACCTTCCCTCCTCCAAGCCCCGCCTCCACACCAGCCACGCCTCTGCCTCTCCTCCCCCAAGCCCCGCCTCCTCCCCAGCCACGCCTCTGCCTCTCCTCCCCCAAGCCCCGCCTCCTCCCCAGCCACGCCTCTGCCTCCCCTCCTCCAAGCCCCGCCTCCACGTCAGCCACACCTCTGCCTCCCCTCCCTCAAGCCCCGCCTCCTCCCAGCCATACCTCTGCCTCCCCTCCTCCAAGCCCCGCCTCCACCCCACCACACCTCTGCCTCCCCTCCTCCAAGCCCTGCCTTCTCCCCAGCCACGCCTCTGCCTCCCCTCCCTCAAGCCCCGCCTCCTCCCAGCCATACCTCTGCCTCCCCTCTTCCAAGCCCTGCCTCCACCCCAGCCACGCCTCTGCCTCTCCTCCTCCAAGCCCCGCCTCCTCTCAGCCACACCTCTGCCTCCCCTCTTCCAAGCCCCGCCTCCACCCCAGCCACGCCTCTGCCTCTCCTCCTCCAAGCCCCTCCTCCTCCCAGCCACACCTCTGCCTCCCCTCCTCCAAGCCCCGCCTCCTCCCCAGCCACGCCTCTGCCTCTCCTCCTCCAAGCCCCGCCTCCACCCCAGCCACGCCTCTGCCTCTCCTCCTCCAAGCCCCGCCTCCTCCCCAGCCACGCCTCTGCCTCTCCTCCTCCAAGCCCCGCCTCCTCCTCAGCCACGCCTCTGCCTCTCCTCCTCCAAGCCCCACCTCCACCCCGCCACACCTCTGCCTCCCCTCCCTCAAGCCCCGCCTCCTCCCAGCCACACCTCTGCCTCACCTCCCCCAAGCCCCGCCTCCTCCCCAGCCACGCCTCTGCGTCCCCTCCTCCAAGCCGTAGCTCCAACCCAACTTTTCCAACTCTTCTTCCCTTTGCTCCTCCCTAGTCTCCTCATCCACCAGCACCCTAATCCTAACTAACTCCTGGTGTCCTTTGGGCTTCAACACCAGTCCAAGCCCCAGCTAGTCGCATGCAGCTGCTGCTCTGTGGATTTGGGGGCTCTGCCCTCACTGCAGGGGAGCACAGCGGGAGGCCTCCCTGCCCTGGGGTGCTGTAACCGCCTACGGGTTGAGGAGCCTACCTTCCCCTCCCCAGCAAGGCATCAGGCTCCCCAGGAACCCCAGAGCTGGCTCCTCTGTGGGGTCTGCCTCCTCAGGGCTCCTGCTCAGCACAGTGGGCACCAGGGCTGGTCGCTCTCAGGTGGGTGCCCAGTAGCCTCACCTGCTCGTCTCTACAGCCACGCTGCTCAGGGGCCTCAGGTGCCCCACTGCCTACTGGGGACGCACAGGTCTGGTGGTCACACCCAGTACGTCTGTCCGGCAGGGCTCCCCACTGCGGCCAGGCCACAGCTTCCTGCGGGATGGCACCTCACTGGGCATGCTGCGGGAGCTGATGGTGGTCATTCGCATCTGGGGCCTGCTGAAGCCCAGCTGCCTGCCCGTGTACACAGCCACCTCGGACACCCAGGACAGCATGTCCCTGCTCTTCCGCCTGCTCACCAAGCTCTGGATCTGTTGTGAGGCACCCCCAACTACTAGTCCTGTCTCCCTACCACAGTCCAGTCCCTAGTTGAGATGCTCCGCCAGAGTATAAGCTCCTGTAGGCAGAAAGGCGCCTTGAGTCCCACGGGTAGCCAGCCCAGCCCTGCCAGGTCCAGTGGGCTGGGCAGCCCTTGGCGCCAGCCATCAGGCGACTGTACTGGTTCTGCTCCCAGTGCCTGGGAAGGGCACTGGTGCTTGCAGAAGAGTTCTTTGGAGGGTACTTGGCAGTCCCTGCACCACAGAGGAGGCTAGTGAGGCCAGGGGCACGAAGGAGCTTTCCAGGTCACCCTGAATGTCCCTTGGGCCTTGTGGGCCCAAGGAGGCTGTTATGTGCCAACCAGTCACTGAGACCACTTCCCCACAGGCCGAGACGAGGGCCCATCTAGTGAGCCAGATGAGGCACTAGTGGACGAGTGCTGCCTGCTGCCCAGCCAGCTGCTGGTCCCCAGCCTGGACTGGCTGCCCGTCAGCGATGGTCTGGTCAGCCGCCTGCAGCCCAAGCAACCCCTGCGCCTGTACTTCGGCAGGGCACCCACGCTGCCAGGCAGTGCCACCACTTTGCAGCTAGACAGCCTCGCCAGGTGAGTGGCAGCCCTGCCCGCCACTTCCATGGGGCATCCGCAGCCCGGTCACACCCTTGCACCCTTCTTGGGCTTGCGATCACACTGTGTGCAGGATGCCACCTGGCTGGCCTCTGGGGTGTGTGGGGTCCGACCTGGTGCTGAGCCAGCCCTGTCCTGGACAGTGGCACCCAGGGGGCCTCCTGACTCCATGAGTAGGTGAGAGGACCAAGCCTCTGAAGTCACTGGGTGGAGACCCAGACCACTCAGAGGCCCCACCCAAGTCCTGGTCACCGCGGAAGCTGTGAGGCTCCCTGAGCAATAGAGCTGGGGACTGAGCAGCATGGGGGTGGACAGGGCGGCTCCTGCTGCCCCGCTGGCCAGGCAGGGCACAGGTACGTCCTAGGACTGGACAGGAAGCAGCGCAGATTGACGGGTTGTCGGTTATGTCAGTATCTTGGAGATGGACCCCTACCTTTCTCTTTAATAGACATAAAATTGGAGGGTGTTTTCCAGCATAAAAAATATGTAGAAATAGAAACAAAGCCCAGGACGTGACAGGGAGGCCATGCTGTGGCCACCCCGGGAAGCTGCCAGGCTTGGCCAGCCCTCTTGGTGGTCCTCTGGTGCTCACGGTGGGGAGTCTGGAGCCTGGCTTTGGGTTTCAGGGAAAGGCAAGGGTGGGGCTGGGAGAAAGGGGCCGGGCTGTGGGGGGCAATGCTGGGGCAGGCGGGGGCAGGCGGGGCTGTGCAGGGCAGGCTGCCACAGGGTCCTTCTGGAGCGCTGTTCTAGAGAATTTAACCCAGCTCTGCAGAAGCCACTTGAAGGGCTGTCCCAGCCCCTCAGGCCATGCTGCCCCCAGGCTCTTGTGGCATGTGGGGTCCTGGCCTTTGTGGCCTGCGTGCCTGGGCAGATGTGTGCACTGCCCCCCCCAGTTGCCTATCTTGCCCTCTGTGGGTACCACCAGTGCCCTGCCCAAGGCTTCAGACCCCTCTCAGCCGGGTCCTTGTCGGCATGCACCTGGCTCCCTTGCCCCAGCCGCTCCCGGTGCCCTTCCCAGCCCAGATGGTCTGTCCCAAATGGCCCCGCAGCCGTCCTCCCAGCCTAAACCTCCAAGGGGTTCCAGGCCAAGGCCTGTCACGTGGCAGATGCCTCTTGAGGGTCTGAGACTCTGACTCTCCTGCCTCAGTCTCCCCAGATGCAGGGTGACAGGCTCCTGTGATGTCACCTGGGAAACTGAGGCAGGAGGGTCACAAGTTCCAGGCCTGGTTCAATCCCCAGCACAGAAGGAGGGGGACAGCAATGGCCACAGCCTCTGGGTGGTGGCAGTCACCATTTCTGTGCCCGTGTACTAGTGTCCTTGTTCTCAGGGAGATCATTGTGCTCCACCTGTGTGCATGCCATCCCATGCCACCAAGTGCAGGGCCACCCACTTGGGAAGGCCACGGTGCTGGCCTGTTTCCTGTGCTCAGGGCACTTGGCCACTGGCAGAAGCTGGTGTCCCAGGGTTGATACCTGATGGTGGGAGGAGACCCACTGTCCACCTGTGGACTGACCCTCCTGCCCAGTCTGGCCCTGTGCCCCGGCCCTCATGCCTCCCCTCCCGTCCCCAGAGCACCAGGCCAGCCTAAGATGGACCATCTGCGGCGGCTGCACCTGGGCGCCTACCCCACAGAAGAGTGCAAGGCCTGCACCAGGTGAGCGCCAGGCCTGCATCCTGGCTTCCCTCTTGGGGGGCTGAGTCCCAGCCAGTGGCCTCTGGAGGTCCTACCTGGCCGCAGGGTGGCGAGGCACAGCCTTCAGCATGACCAGAAAGAAGGTCTAAGTGCTCTGGGACCCTTGGATCACCCATGGGCACGGGCCAGGCCTTGGGCTGCTGGGAAGGCCGATGACAGGCACCCTGTAGCCGGCCTGTGCTTGCCCCCAGGTGCGGCTGCGTCACAATGCTCAGGTCCCCCAACAAGACCACGGCGGTCAAGCAGTGGGAGCAGCGCTGGATCAAGAACTGCCTGTGTGGGGGGCTCTGGCGGCGGACACCCCCCAGCTGCCCCTGAGGGTGCTGCCCCTGAGCGGTGCTGCCCAGTGGGCTGGGTAGAGACTGGGTGCACTCAATGGTGCTGGCCCCACAGGGCCCTAGAGCTGGACATCCTTCCTTCCCTGCCTGTTCTGGGGGCTGTCGGAGGCACGAGGCCCCTCACCCCTGTCAGCGGGTCCCTCGGCATCAGGCCGTGGCTTCTGGGACCGCCCACCCTGCACCTCCGCAGCCAGCACCCTGAGTGCCTGGTCCCTGCCCCAGGGCTAGTGGGCTACAGGCCCTGTCCTGGGGACTTGCTGGCCACCAGCCAGTTGCTGCAGGCCACATGCTGCCTCCGTTTCCCTCCTGTTCCTTGAAGGCCATTCCAGCAGGGGTTGGGACAGGGCTGAGCCGGGCCTTCTGTTCCCGGCCCCTGTTGTCACTGTGGGCCCCTGCACCGCACTGGGGCATCTCGCTTGCTCTGTCCTGAGGTCAGCCAGCATTTACGGGCATCAAATGGACGCCCACCAGGCCCTGGCGTCTGTGTTGGCCAGAAGGGGCAGAGGGTGGAGGGAAGGCCTGGAGCCTGTCTGTCTCCATCCCTGTGTGTCCTTACCCTCGGCTCTGCCCTCCTGTCCCCATCCCCTCCCCCGCACTGGCGCTGCTAGCCCAAGGCCCTGGTTCCCAGTGCTCTGCCTCATGCCCCAGGGGTCTGCCTTCTGTCCATTATGTGCTCTGGGCCAGCTGCCCCCAGGTGGGCAGGCCCTGCAGACATGCTGCCTGCTGAGTGATAATTGGTTTGCTTGTTTTCTTTCTGGAAGGCTCCAGGAGGGCAGCGGCTAACTCAGCATGGCTGTCTGCACTTGATCCTGGCCTGCCCCTCGCCTGGCGGGGTTCCTGAGCCTGGTGCTAGGCAACCTGTGGCTGCAGGACCGGGCACCGGGAGGGCATGGGCAGCAGACCGCATCCCCAGCTGCCTCCACCAGGGTGACGCAACAGCCTCCTGGGCCGAGGCGCAGCCGGGATGGGCGACAGTGCCCGGGCCACTGCCTGATGGACAGAGCCCACAAGGTGACTTGCACCTGGGTGGCCTTCCACAGGGCCTCCACCTGGCCCCTCCGTCTAGCAGGCATCCTCCCTGGCCTGGGCAGACACCTGCAGATGATACCAGGTCCCCTGCAGCGGCCTGGGTGCAGTGGGTGGGGCGGCCATGGGCCACCGCCTCTCTCCTGACTCCTCCCCTGCCCACAGTCAGGAGCCTAAGCCCAAGAGAGTTGATGTCCCTGGGTGAACAACTGCCATTTCATGTTGCTGTGTCAAGCCTGTCTGTCCTGGGCACCTGGCCCAGTATCGGCAAGGAGGTGGGGTGGGAGAGCACTGTGGGGCCTGACCCCTGGGGCTCTTTCTGGAATGTCCCATGAGCTAAGACTGATGGCAGGATGGGACTCAGGTGCCAGGGAGTCTAGAGCTGGACAGGCTGGCCCCGTCTGTGTTGTGATTCAGGGCTGTGGCCGCAGGCCACTGGGCTGACGCTGGCCCTGGGGCACAGCCAGTCCCTGGGACAAGGGCCTGTAGCAGTGGCAGCGTGTCGCAGGGTGCTCCCTTGCTGGGCTGCAGTTGGTTTGGCCTACTGAAGCCTCCTGTGCCGGGAGGAGAGGGAGGAGAGGCGGGCTCCGAAGGCCCCGAGCCCCAGGGCTGTTTTGTAAGACCTCCCAGGCCACCCTGCCCGGTGTTCACTTCTCAGGTATAAGGGAGTTCAGGGGAAGTGGATCTCAGACCACCACCCCTTAGCATGTGTCCAAGAGGGGGCTTGCAGGCTGTGGGCTGCCTTCACATGGTAACAGGGGTTTGTCTTCCCCAGTGCCCTGAGGCTGGGCAGCTTCCTTGGGAGACCTAGTACTGCCTGCTGCCACCCCAAGCTGGGTTGACTGCTGGACAGCTGCAGGGCCAGCCACATTAATGACGTGCCGCACGGTGGAGGATTTGCCAAGCTCCTCAGGAGCAGGCCCAGACCTCAGCTGTGTCTCTGGCCCCCATCCCAGGGCTGGCACACAGTAGGTGCTCAACAGATACTGGTGTAGGGCTATAATTCCTGGGTGAACATTCCATAGAATCAATAAGCCAAGACACGGATTCCAATATTATCTTCCCGTTCCCAGCGCGGTGCGGGATTTCCCCTCAGACCCTCGGTCTTCTTTTCAACAAAAAGGAAACCATATAATCTTTCTTTTATATATCCAGCTTGCTGCTGTGGGCCTCACTCACCTCTCCTCTAGGTGGCCTGGGCCTGAGTTCTGTCTATAGAGGTGCAGGCTGTGTAGAGCTGCCCGCTACACGGGGCCCCAGGAGACGGGCTGCTCTGGACACCCCAGCTTCCTCATCACCGGCTTCAAAGCCATGCCTCCTCCTGGAGTTTGTGTGACCCCTGAGCCTGTTTCCCGTTTGGGACGCGCAGCAGGTCGTGAGGCAACAACTGTAGAGGTCTCTGAGTCACCGCCACATAACTACCCTGCACGTTTCGCTGGAAAGCGGAGGGCGGGCCGGATGGGAGCTGGTTGGAGAGGGGTACCCCACCACTCGGCTTCCCGGGAGGGTCGAGGGCGCCACCGTGTGGTCGGTGGCCGAACAACACCCGACAGCTTCCGTGCTGAAAGAGCCTCCGGGATTGGGAGTCGCCCCTTGGCGTCTCCCTTGGGGCAGGTGCTCAATAAAGATGCTGGACATAGAAACGAACGTCTTTATTACCATCTCCTCGTGCCCCGCGCCGTAGGTCCCGCTCAGGCCTCCGCGCCCTCTGCCAGCACGCCGTCGATCCAGGCCGTGTAGCTCGCCACGCGCGTGTAGATGCCCGGCTTCTTGCGGTTGCCACACACGCGCGCGCCCGAGGTGACCACACCCTCGACCACTCCCCGGCACACCAGCGGACCTCCGGAGTCGCCCTGCAGGGCGGGCGGAGCCGTGAATGCCGTGGGCCCGCCCGCCCTCCGCTCTCCCCACCCGCCAGCCACACTCCTGCCGCGTCTCTGCCGCTCCTCCCTCCCCATACGCCCTTCAGTCCCGGGTCTCACTCGTCCGTCCCTCGACTCCCGTCCCGGACCCCACCTCTCTCCTAACCCGCCCCTTCCCGCGCACCCTGCAGCTGTCGCGGCGGTTGCTCTCCGCGCACATCATTCGCGGGGTGATGGCGCCGTCGTGGTACGTGCGCAGGTTGCAGGTGGCGCGGTCCAGCACCGGCAAGAGCACGTGCTGCAGGCGGTCAGGCCGGCGGCCAGCGTGGCTGACCACGCCCCAGCCGGCCACGTCGCAGAGTGTGCCGGGCGCCACGTCGCGGTCCTCGCGCTGCAGGGCCAGGGGCTGTACGGCCGGGCCTAGTGCCGCCTTCTCCGATAGCTGGAATGGGGCAGAGGTGGACGTCAGGGCCGCGCGCGGGCGGGCGAGAGGCTGCGGCTAAGCCGCGACGGGGGCGCGCAGCGGAGTGGGGATTCAGCGCCACCGGAGAGAAGGTGACTAGAGTGGGATGGGGAAGCGGGTCAGAGCGGGGTGGGACACCGTCCCAGCGCAGCAACAGAGACCGCGGCTGGCCTGCGCCGACCTGCAGCAGGAGGAGGTCGTGGTCGATGGTGTCCGGCCTGCTGTCCGGGTGGGGCACCGCTCGGCGCACGTCGTACAGGCGCTTGGAGGGCTCGGGCTGCGATAGGGAGTGCGCGCCTAGGAGCACCTGCACCTTCCCTTCGGCCCTGGGGGCGCGGGACCAGGTCAGTGCCACGGCCGCCCCGCCCGCCCCGCCCGGGGCCCGCCCGCAAACCCGTCCCTGGGCCCGCGGGCGGTGGCTGCTCACGCGTCGTCCAGGCAGTGCGCAGCGCTCAGCACCCACTGCTCGGTGACCAAGACGCCGCCGCACAGGTGTTTGCCGTTCACTTGCACGGACGCCAGGTAGGGCCGCGCATGCGCCTCGGCTTCCCGACCGCCCAGGATCCGACCGCGAGGCTGGGCCGCTATGGGGGCGAGAGGACCTGAGGGCGGCGCCCCAGAGAGGCCCAGCCTCCGACGCCCGCACCCATGGACGCCTCAACTGAAATCTCATCTCTGGCATGTGGGGCCCCAGGAGCAGCAGAGAGTGGCCAAGGCAGAACCCTGCGGGGTGAGGGGGTCCGGGGCAACTTCCAGGACCCGAGGGCTTGGGATTAAACCTGAGAAAGGAGCTGGCCAGCCCTATCCCCCTGCGGCCGGCCGGCCGGCTCTAAGGACTCGTTGTCGCTGCAGAATTTCAGCCTCACTGGTCTGAGGCGGCTCAGACCAGACCCAGTGCTTGGCGAGTCCTTGGCCCCAACTCCAGGTTCTCCCCCAGGCCTGGTGGGCTCCCCATAGGCGGCTGGGCACATCCCCAGGTCCACTCACCACACACTGCGGCCCCCAGGAGGACCAGAGACGCCAGGCACGTAGAGCCTGGCATGATGACACCACTGTGGCCTGAACACTGACCCAGGCAGGGGCCCCGGGGCCCTTTTATGAGGGCGGAGGGGCGGAGCTGACCATCTGCCAGCTGGGCTGCGGCCCAGCGGGGAAAGGGGAACTGGCCCTCTGGAACCTCACCCTCCCCAGACCCAGAGCACACAGCCTTGCTGACTCTGCAGGGGGCTGGGCCCTAGGGTGGGCAGGAGAAGGAGAGGAGGGATGGACCCCTCCGCCCCTGTCCCCTGAACCCCTGTCCCTTCAACCCCTGACCCGTGTCCTTCCAGCCCCAGATTTCACAATAGCACCCGGAGGCTGTGGTTTGTAAACAACCCACTTCATCTCTCCAACCCTCCCCTTTCTTCCTCCTTCAACTTGGAGAGAAGGTCAGGTGTGGGGGGTGGAGGTCACCCAACAGTCCTGTCCCCATCCCTGTGGCCTTGGGGCCTAAAACCCCCAAAAGGGGACTATTAGAAAGGAGGCACAGATGAAGCAGATGAAAAGACCATTGGGTATGAGTGACAGAAAAGCCAAGTCAAACTGGGCACAGCTTTCATTAAGAAGAGTAAGTGGGAAATTCATGGTCTGCCTTCAGGTGTGACTTGATCCAGGTGTCTGCCCAACATCAGGTGTCTGCTTCTGGCTTCTCCTCTCTTTGATGTCTTTTCTCCTCACCAGACTCTCCTGTTGTGGTCCCAGGGTCCCCAGACTTGCTCCAGCAGCTCCCTGGGCCCTTCTAAATCATCAGGACAGCCAAAGTCTCAGGGCTGCCCCTGGTTGACTGAGCATGGATCACGAACTCCCTCCCCAGCTACTCTCTGTGGGCATGTTCTGCTGAGCAGGCCCTGAGCTGTGCCCTCTGGAGCAGGGTGGGGAGAGTACCCTAGGCTGTGCCCTCTGGAGCAGGGTGGGGAGAGGACCCTAGGCTGTGCCCTCTGGAGCAGGGTGGGGAGGGGACCCTGGGCTGTGCCCTCTGGAGCAGGGTGGTGTTCAACCGCTGGGCAGAGACTGGGGTGCGTCGCTGCCCCCTGCCTGCTCTTCCTGGAGACAGGCTGTTGCAGACGTGGGGTACAGTGTGACCTGCCCATGCACTGGGAACTGCAACTGAGCCTGGGACAGCTGGGCCCAGGGGAAGGGGCGGGGTGAGGACCCCCACTGCCTGGCCAGGAAGGCTGGCCTGGGAGGGGCAGGCCCTGAGTCCCCAGGGGTGGCTGGGGGGATGCTTGTCGGGCACACACCAGCCCCAGGTCCCTCCCCAGCACCGAGAAGAAAGGAAGGGAGCTGGGCTGGGGCCAACGGTAGAGCACGTGCCTAGGCATGTGTGAGGTGCTGGGTTCGAGTCTCAGCCCACATATGAATAAATAGAATAAAGTCCATTGACAAGTGATACAGTGTTAATTTGTGGTGCTGGGGATTGAACCCAGGGCCTGGTGCATACAAGGCCAGCGCTCTACCAACTCAGCTGTATCCTTAGCCCCTAAGAAAATGTTTTTTAAAGAAGAGGAAAGGTCCCTGACAGAGGGCACTGGGACCTGGGACAGAGGGAGGGGAGCTGTCCCCACCTCCTGGGCACTTCTCTCCTCTGCCGGCTGGCTGCCCAGGGCTGCTCTGCAGACTCCCCAGAGGGAGGTGCTCCGCTGTCCTGGGAACCCGGAAGCCAGCCAGGGTGGGAGCAGGGCCCAGCTGGGCTGCCCTGTCCGCCCTTCCCTGACACCACGCAGCCTCAGCAGTAGCCATCGGGCTCAGAGGACCATGACCACGTGCCCCGCGTGGCAGAGCAGGAGAGCACAGCCCGGCTCTGCCCCTGGTCTCAGCCCCTCCACCTGGCAGTGGCCTGGAGGCTGGAGAGCCTGCTGCCCTGCTGCTGTGACCCCTGCCCGGGCCTCCAACAGGTGGGTGCCTAGCAGGGACAGCGGAGCCCCCGACCGGATCCTGGCTGGGAAGCAGGCGTTTCCTGCCGCCCCCCGAGGCCGACTCCCACCTCCCCGACTGCTTTCTCCCAGGCTGCAGGGCCAGGCGCCTTCCACAGACAGGACTTTTATTTTGCCGGGTGAGGAAATGTGGTGGGGTGGCCCAGCCGGGCGGCAAGGGTGGCCCTCTTAGTAGGTCCTGCTCACAGGGTCCCTGGGGTGGGGGAGCGGGCCGTCCGTGGGGCTGCGGATAACAGAGTTGATCCAGTCTGCGAATTTTGCCACTGGGGCAAAGGCGTCGGGGTAGAGCCCAGAGCCGCAGCCCCCCCGGATGAAGGAGTCGATGCCGTGGACCAGCCCGTTGCAGACCAGGGGGCCGCCAGAGTCCCCCTGTGGAGAAGACTGAGGTCAGGAGGCTGGACTGCGGGCCTGTGGCCCTCCCACTGCCCTTCCGGGCGGGAAGTGGCCCAGGCAGGGTGGGGTGGTGGGCAGAGGAGCACGGGGCACCTACGAAGCAGATGCCGGCCTGCCGGCGCGGCACAAGTGTGCACACGTTGACACGGCGGCGGCAGAGGGTCGTCACCACCGTCACGTTGAGTTCCTGTAGGACGCTGGGTGTCCGTCGGTTCGTGCCCAGCCTGCCCCAGCCCATGGCAAGGCAGGGTGTCCCGTTGCCCACACCGCGATCCTGGGCTGGCAGCTGGGCCACCTGCACATTGGCATTGATGGTGGCAAACCCACTGAGCTGCCGCAGGGACAGAACACAAGGTGTCAAGGAGGCCGGACAGAGGTCCCCACCTGGGGCTGCGCGGTGGCTCCACCACCCAGCAAGCTGCGCCCTGCCCTGCGCTCGGTGCTCCCAGCCAGGAAGTGAGGCCACAGTAAACAGTAGGTGCTCGGTCCGGCAAGCCGTGCACCATCATGACAACTCCCCAGGGAGCAACCAGAGCTGGGTCCCTCTGCCACTGCCCCCGCTGCAGCAGACGGGGGCTGGAGACCCAGGCAGACATGCTTGCTGAAGCCGCCCGGGGCCGAGCTCCTGTACAGGACAAGGCTGGGCAGGGCCAGTGCCCTGCTGGGGCCAGGCCCTTCACCCTGGGCCCTGGCGGGCCCGTGACTTGTCCAGCCTCGGAGCCTCGAGCCTTGGCACCTGTCCTGCTGGGTCACCTGGAGAATCACGATGTCGTTCAGCAGGCGCGTGGCATCAAAGCCGTTCTCAAAGACCCGCTGGACGGAGAAGACCTGCCGGGAGGACTCGCGCTGCCGCAGATCGTGGGCACCCAGCACCACCTGCACCGACCGGAAGTTCCTGCAGCAAGGGGGAGGGCAGCAGGCCGCGGGTGGGTGGCTGTGGGACCTCAGCCCTG